CTAATTATTCTAGTCATTGATAGAACTTGAACCTCTTAAGAAATTAAGCAGTCTTATTTCCTCTCCATTCATTAAGAAAAATTGCAGAGCTACTGGACACACTTTATTTAGGAAAATAACATAGAAAGTGAAAATCCTTCCATTAGCAACTCAAATGCTCCATGCCTAAAAGAAATGACATAACTTATCCAACTCCTGGAAATATTTGTGTCCTGCATAGTCAGAACTTCCATGGTTATGCTTCTAAGACTGTACAAAAAGTTTGGAAAGCCCTTATGGCCTTGTCTTCTTCACAGTCAGAAAAAGGTAATGAAAGTAATCTGAAGAAGTTATATAGCCCACACCAGTATTCATACCATTGGAAAAGAAGTCAAACAATTCTAGCAAGGCAATTTTAGTTCTTTAATTCACCAACAATTATTTTCTAAATAAGATTTGTTTTTTAAAATGTTCTCTGTGTACAACAGAGCAAACATAGACCTATTGAGTAAGGCATGTTTCTTGCCTATATAACAAACTCAAATGGTCAAGCGAAGTTTGTTTTCTTTATTTTTTTTAAAGATTTTATTTATTTATTTGAGAGAGAGAGAGAGCACATGAGAGGGGGGAGGGTCAGAGGGAGAGGCAGACTCCCCACCGAACAGGGAGCCCGATGCGGGACTCGATCCCGGGACTCCAGGATCATGACCTGAGCTGAAGGCAGTCGCCTAAACAACCGAGCCACCCAGGCGCCCGAGCGAAGTTTGTTTTCTGACCTTTGATGGGATGGTACTCTATTAAACTAGGAATATTTAGGTGAAAGGAATGGGAATAAACCTTCCATGAGGGCTGGGACCTTTATATCTATCACTAAGTTGTTAGCAGCATCTAGAACATAATGTGGCACACAGTAGGCCTGCAATATCTGTTGACTGAGTGAACAGATTATATCTGTGTGTTCCTTCCTTTGGAGTACCAGGGGAAAGCAGATGCAGTACGATAATACTGGCCAGGCCAGAAGGGGTGTATGCGATTTTTGGAAACTTTGTAAAAGTCATTGCTAAAAGCTGATCTAGGAGCTATAATGTCAATGATATTATTACTGATATGAGAACCTGATGCATAAAAATAAGTTTGATTCAGCAATTAATTACTGAGCCATTATGTTTCATTTCCACACATTTTTCAGAATCTGCTCAGAGTTACCACTGACAACAGTCATCTCTCCCACTCTGCTGCTTCGCCTTCTCATCACTCCCCAGCCGTCAGCAACTGATTTTCTGCTCCCAGCACTGCTCAGGCCAAGGAGACCAATGACCTCCAACCACCAAGTATATAACAGACACCTGACATCTCAGAGGCATCCAACACAGAGAGAACCTGTCCCACTTTGCTTCTGCAAGGCTCGCTCCCACACTCCGGCTGTGGCTTTAAACTGTGCCATTTCTTCTCTACCTGCCACACACACCTGCAGGTACCCTAACCTTTGCCTCATCCTCTTCTCTTTCTAGGTCATTATCTGCTCAACGTTCACTCGCTCCAATGGCTTCAAGTAGTATGCCTGTGACTCCCACCTCCCTCCTCTGAGCTCCAGTCCCAAACGCCTCCTGGATATCCTGGTGCCCCTGAAATTCAACATGCCCAGAATAAAAACAATCTTCATTCTTCTACCCCGCAACTTCTCCCTTCTTGTGTTCCCTGGCACTGATGCCGCCATTGGGCCAACTGAGCACTCACCCAATCCTTCCTTCTGCTCCTTCTACCTCCTACTTTTCTCTAGAACCATCCACTTCTCTCCCTTTCCACTGCACCACCCTCCTGTCCATCACCCTGCACCCTGTTTTCTCCCCGAGGCTAGTCTCCTCAGAGCCACTCTTGCTCTCTTCCAATCCAAACTGATCTTTTTAAAGTGAAAACCCTTAACAAGGTCCACAGAGCCCTGGATGACACTGTCTTCATCTCCCTCTTCAGATATTTCTTATGCCACCCCCGCCAGCACTATCTCTTAGTAGGTCTTTTTTTTTCTTAGTAGGTCTTTTAATAAAATCAGTAACTAAGAATGACTCAGGAAGCCGTTAAAATATGCTACATTCTGAAAAGCCTCAAACACAAAACCCACAGACATTCCAAATCAAATGATTTTTGTTTGCAATTTAAAGCCAGTTCTCACTGTTCGCATTTATCAAAAGTAGTTTTGAAATATCTTTTGTTACTATGTGGATACGCACAGTTTATCATATGATTCAAAGTGAAAAACTGCTTACTCTTGTCAGAGAATGGAGTCATTATACTTCTGTGAGGTTCCAAAGGTCCTTTTCAGCCAGCTTTTTCCAGATTAGTAAAATATTAAGAAAAGCCCAGCACAAGAGAATCCAAATTTTTATTCTCCCATGTGGGGAGGTTAAAAAACAAACAAGACCCCACGTACATAAAACAACACTTTAACAACAAAAAATGAAAAGGCATCAAATCAGAATAACAACATTCTAAATTAATAATTTTGGTTTTATGCCCTCATTTTTCTCTTTCATTGAAGACTTGTGAACACAGCTTCCCAAACTGACACGAGTGGCTAGACTAGATTTTGACAACCACTATGCTAGATAGTAACTATTGGGGCGCGTGGGTGGCTCAGTCCTTAAGCGTCTGCCTTCGGCTCAGGTCATGATCCCAGGGTCCTGGGATCGAGCCCCACATCGGGCTCCCTGCTCGGCGGGAAGCCTGCTTCTCCCTCTCCCACTCCCCCTGCTGGTGTTCCCTCGCTCGCTGTGTCTCTCTCTCTCAAATAAATAAAATCTTTAAAAAAAAAAAAAAAAGAAAAACTATCTTGTTATTCTAAAGATAGCTTTTTAAAAACTCGTACTTGAAAAGATAAAGTATTGAGAAATTAAAAAAAAAAAGCATCCTCTGACATGTGAAACTGCTCGGAGGTTCACAATTAGACCCCAATATTATTACAAACTGGTATGACACTCACATCCAGGCCACTTCTGTTCTCATGTTGGATATAATCAATTTCACAGAATACCTACCTCAAGGTTACTCTGAGACATGATAAAATGAAACAAAGCAAGGCTACTTGATGATTCTGTTTAAGCACAAACAAGGGTATTGTGCAACCCACAAAATGCCAAACACCCCCTTCTCTTGCTAAATAAACGCTTCTTCTTTACCCAATCACAGAATTGCCCCACCTTCTAAAAGTATCCAGTGTAGAGCAACCCCCCTATTCCTTGGACCTACCCCCAAACACACAACCAAAGTGCAAATCATGAAAAAAGTTTTGCCAAATGCCCTTTTATTGAGAGGCCCCACAATTTCCGATGGTGTACATCCTTTCTCACTGCAAAGAGTAATAAACTCAATCTGTCCAACTTCAGGTGTGTTTTCTGGTGACCTTTGGCTGAAGGGCACTTATGGTATCAAAGTGTTAAATTCTTTTAAAATTCTCATAATCGCAACCACTTTACAGCATATTAATTCCCTACACACGCTAAAGCAAAATAATTTTATTTCTTCTTATACCCTTCTAATCCTTGTCTACATGTACACACTTTGTATTTTTCTGTTACTGAAATCACTGTACATACTATTTTATTCTGCTTTTATTTGCTTATATTCCATCAGTTTTAATGAATAATATCCCACCATGATTTTATTCTTAGGTCATTTCTCCTTAGGAAAAAAAAAAAAAAGGAAGAGAATGCGTATCTTGCTCCCACTATCGATACCCTACCTAAGCTATTAAGACCACCCTCATCTAATTTGCACCCAGATTCCTATTTATCTGATCTGTTGGCAAAGAAAAATGGAGTCTTACTGCTTTTAAAGAAGAGAAATACTAAAGCATGCTTCAGTAAACAGCAGTGTAACCTCTGGCTAGACATTTTCCCACTGAACCTACTTCCTTCTCTGGCTGGTCCCTCGCTGTCTCTTGCAGTTACCAAGTCTGGGTTCCTGTGACTTCCTTTTGGGGAAAGAGCCACGGGACAGGCGTTCCCATGACTCGGGGGTTAAGGCCACGGCCGCCACACCGGGGCCGCTCTGGGCTGGGACGCCGCGGCCTTTCCCAGGGACCTCAGGAGTCTAGGCTGCAGCTTCTCCTTCAGCACCCCGTCACCTGGCGGAGAATGCCAACGTCGGCAAGCAGTCCGTCGCTTAACTGAATTACGCACACAAGTCGACTGGGACTTTTTCTCTTAGCAGTTCAGGATGCGCGGGCCTGGAACTGGCACAACAAGCGCGATCACTCAAACTGGGGGTGTGCAAATCACAACCAGCACTGTACAGAGATTAGGATTTCCCCGAAAGGCTCTCTTGTCCCGGCTTGTACGGAGTCAAGCCGGCGCAGGGTTCACCAGCCCGCTCTGCACCCACACCCCGCACACTGTACCACAGACCCCCGGAGGGATGCTGCGCGGCCCCCGCGGTTCCTCGCGCCCCACCCGCCCAGCCACACCCGCCCCGGCGCCACCTCCGCACCGCACGCCCCTCTCCGCGCCCTCCCCTAGAGCTCACTCACCGGCGGCGCCTGCTGCGCCAACGCACAGGTAGCAGCCACGGTGAGGAGGACCAAGGTTACGCGACTCCGGCCCAGCATGGTCCCCGCCGCAAGGCCCCTCCGGAGAACGTGGGCAAAGGCGGCGATAAGCACCACCTGGCCGCGGAGCAGGCCGAGCCCGGCCGCCGCGAGACCAGCGACACCGGACCGCACCAAGAGAGACGGGGGGTGGGCAGCGCAGAAGAGACGGGGTAGGAAGGAGGGGACGGGGCTTTTCGGTGTTGCGGCAAGTATGGCAGCAAGAGGAAGCCTTCCAGGAAGGAGTGGGGAGCCCCCAGGAGAGGAATCGGCGCTCGCGTTAGGACTGTGATGTCGGCAGGCCCTCCCCTCTCCCCGTGGGCAGTGGTTGGGCCGAGCCTGAGCCCCGCCCCGGTGGGTGGGGCTCAAGCACTTTTCCCGGGGTCGAGCCGCCTGGACGAGCGCGCCCCCTCCAGAACCTCCTCCGCTGGCGGCTGCGGGCGACACGGGGCCGGGGGGTCTCGCTCCACTCTGGGCCTGGTGCCACCTGTGCAACGTCCCCAAACGGCCCAGGGCGAGGTGTGCATTCAGGCCACCCCGTGTCAAATGTCCACGAAACGGACCCAGCTCCCCCAAGAGTCTCAAAACACGGCGGCGTAGCACGCGAGCCCGGTCCATCTTTGCCCTCCGAGGAGAGCAGGCCTGAAGTGAGTGAGCTTGTTCGTCCAGACCGTGGAGTCACTGGAGGGGCTCAGGTGTTAGGGGCAGGGAGGGGTTGGCGGGAATCTAATCCCCAGGGACATTCTGAACCCCCGAATTACCCATTTAGGCTTTTACCGCAGAGCTGACAAGTCACAGAATTTAGGTTTCAGTTACTTGGACTTAGATACAGGTGGAATGACCAGGTAGAACTGCAAACTTTCCTTCACTGATGTATTCAGCCATTGAGCAACTCTGTGTTTTCATTTAACCCATGAACCTTTAGCTTGGCAGAACTGAGCTAAACCCTGGAGAAGGGTATGTATTCAGTGCTGTTTAGCTTGCACCTGAAAGACAAATAGATTTAATTGCTTGTCATTCATGCCTTACATGGTCAGGATCGCTCTGTTGGATGTTACTTAAAAGTCCAACAGGAAACCCCTCCGTCCAGATTGTACTTTCAGGTTGACTCTCTAGGATATCCGAACCAGCAGTTTTAATGCTTGATGAAACTTAGCGTACTATCACCATAATCTTCATTTATTTATTTTTTCTTGTGTGTTTGAAATTATAATTTTACCCATTTCTATTACTTCCTTATAAAAATCAATCTTTTTGCTGGAGATTGGGAAATGAAAATTTTATTGGGGGGTAGGTAACAATCTTCTTGTCAACCTTAAGATAGCCAGTTAATTTGCCAGCAAAATAAGTTTGTTTACAATAGCAGAGTAATTGCAATTTAGGACATTCAAACTGCCAAACCCTAGGCAAGTTGGGAGAACAAAAAGGAGGGGCTTGTTTTCAGAGAGTAAAGGGGTAAGTTGGAAGCTGTTTGGATCTGGAGTCCATTGGAGGAGAGCAGGAGTTCCCTTGTGGTGACTTCTTATTGGCTGAGTTGTTGCTGGGACAGTAGGAAATCTTCCTTTCTAGTACTGGGGCAGTAAAGTAAGCTACTTCCTATTGTGGAAGGTACAGGTAAAGCTTTTTCCTACTGGAGTCCGTAAAAGGTGGTAAGTGGTAGTGTGTGAGAAGTCCCTTTTCAGGGCTTCCTAACGCCATTTTAAATGGGATTTTCTTTGCTCATTTTCACCCTCTCTTTGAGGAAATTTGACTTTGAGACATCTCACATGATTAAAGTGGTTCCTGATTCAACAGGAAGCAAGCAGACCATAGAAATGTTCATTAATTCAAGAAATACGGTCAGCCTACAATGTACCATGCATTTCTTCACTGACTGGGGTTAAGCAGGCAACAAAAAAGACAGAAGGTCCTTCTCTCATGAGCCTTACAGTCTAGATGAGAAATGGACAATAAACACAATACATAAGAAAATTTATATAGAATGTTACAAGGTGAGAAATGTTGTAGAAAAAAGTGTAAGGGGGAATCAAGAGTGGGGAGAGCCACAATGTTAAATAAGATGGACAGGAGTGGCATTACTAAGAAAGTGAAGTCTGAGCAGAGGTTTGAGGCAGGTGAGGGAGCTCTCCTGGAGGATGTCTAAGGAAGTGTTCCAGGCAGAGGGAGCAGTTGGGACAAAGGTTTAAAAAAAGAGAGTGCCTGGCATGTTTGCCTATAGCAAGGAAGTCAGTGTAGGTAGAGCAGAAGTAAAAGAGGGAAGAGAAGTAGATGAAGTCCCAGGGGAAAGGGGAGTAAGGCAGATTACATAGGCCATTACCAGCCATTTTAAAGGGCTTCATTCTGTGAACATATTGAATTATCTTGGACCTTAAAATCAGTGTGCAGATGTAGAGGATTCCCATCTTTTAGTATATAAATAGCTATTTGGTTTGAAGATCATTCACTTTAAAATACTACTTAGGGCACTTTAAACATGTCACCAAACATATTTTTTTTCCCTATAAGAGGATGTCTGTTGGTGATTAAGTGGTCTAGCAAAATCATTCTTTATGCAGAAAAAAATTGTCATTTGGCATAATATTCTTAGGCACAATTTTCACATAATTTTGCATTCAACTTTCAAAGGCCTTTTATATACTGTTGTTTTCAAATTAAAAAATTTAAATCTACTTTTCCAAAATATACCATTTTATGCATTTTTTCTTACACATATATAATTTTTCCTACTCCATTCTTAAGTATTAGAAATGTACAGAAAGTCAAGGTGAAGCATTTGGTCATAGGAAACTTTGCCATGCTTTGTGGCATACTGACATATTCACAGAAAATGACATTTAAATGTACAAATAACCATGTTGGTGGGAAGGGTGATTGAAATACTATCTTCACAACAAGCATCAAGTTTAAGACTTGGATAACCTGTTTAGTATGCAAGACTCAGCATCAGTAATCAAACTGTTTATCAGAATAGCTGAAGTTCTTGGCAAGCTGTGGACCTTTTTAAATCTCCTACTAACATTCCTAGGTTTCTGAGGTGGAGCCTTGATTTAAAATCATTGCAATCTAAGCACCCCACCCTAAGTGAACTCTACTGCACCTAACACCACATTACTCAGAACAGGTATGGCTTGCTTTAATAAAAGTAAATATTCAAAAATTCAAGAAATATAATGTTTCAGTTCAAAAAATAAACCTTTTACTGGAAGCATTTACCAGTGAGTTGTTTAATTTTAAAAAGGGCTTACTTTAAAACATAATCTGAGATTCCAAACTTAGACTATTGTCCATCTTTTCAGGTAGGACTCTAGAGAATAAAAGATATGAAAAATGGGAAATCAGAGGTCATGCAAAATTGTTACACAATACTTTTCCTCCAGTAACTTTATCACACTATAAAGGATTTTACTTGCTTTATGTTTTACTCGTATATAGAAAAACATGTTAAATCATTACATTCAGCTCAAGGCATCCTGTTACACAACTACAAACTTAGAACTCACATTGAATATAATTGTCCTTTCTTAATGTCAAAGTAAAATAATTATCTTAGTTATCTTTCACTTGGCACTTACCTCTGTTTCTTTGTGAAATACTTTTGATGTCTTACTGAATCTCTGACACCTCAGGCACGTGTTTGAAGAGCCACTTTAAAAAAGTCCTTTTGTCCTACTTCCACTTCCTTTGATAAGACATGATTCTGACCTGAAAATTATTTAATTGAGCTCAAATCCAATAATCTCTAATTTTTTTGTTCTTATTTCATATTCTTATATAGTTCCCTTTTACCTAAGCCCTATTTAATGTTCCTGCCAGTTGTTTCTCCTAAGTTTGTGATAAATTCATGTATTCTCACAATACCTTTGAGCACTTACTCTTGGTGCTGGGTAACTGGTGAACAGGTGGCCATGCCTTCCCAGGGCTTTCAGCCTCGTGGTGGAGAAAAATGACGATGGAAGGGAAAAGGTAAATCAGATGGGTGTCTTGAAAGCTTTCAGTACATTTGGATTATTATTCCATACTCTCACCTCTGGTTTAATATTGTAGATGTTTCCCCAACCTCAGTTCCACTCTTCCAATATGCAGCAGCCCAATGATCTGGATGAGCCATATCCGTATCCTGATCTCTGGACGTGGGCCCTGGCTGGCCTAACCTTAAGGTTGCCCTATCCTTCTCGCCACAGTGCTTGGCTCCAACGTTAATCATTTAGACTCCTGAATCCAACAGGCCATTTTTTGAAGTTCAAGGTTTTGCTCTATGATTGAAGCAGTTGTCCTTATCTTCTAACAGGAAAAAGTTAGCTAGTAGTCCTCATTGCTACTGGCATTCATGCTGTGAACTTGAAGGGACCTGCCTAAGGAGGAGTAGATACTGTGGACAGCAAAGAGGAGAGATGGAAAGAAACTGGGTCATTATGACATTGTTAAGCTGCTAGATCCACCGTGGAGCCTGCACAACAGCTGGACTCTTCATTAATGTGAGCCACTCCTCCTCTTTATTATTTAAGCTAGTTCAAGATGGTTTGCTTACAAGTTGTGTCTAATACCATATTAAAACAGGTATCGCTACCTTCTCAAGAGCACAGGATTTACTGTAAAGCTGTAATGCTTAAGTTTCAAGGCCTTCACTTGCTCAGGCCTCTTCCAAACTTTCTACCTAATTTCACACTTGCAATTTTATATTCTTTTCCTTAAAGAGGACTATCCAAATTGTGGAAGCTTCAGGCTTCACAAAACCTGCATCTACCATCAGACGTTCTAGGGAGAAAACACCCACCTTTCTCTTTAATTCCTTCAATCCACATGTTCCTAGGAAAGGAATGCCTTACCTAATTGGTAAATAGCTGGAAGGGTCACTGCACACACGTGGCCTGACCTCTCTCACTGAGATCTGCTTGCTCACAGTGATAAGCTCACTGCAGCAAGCCCTGGGTGACAAGAGTGAAAGGGGAAGTAGTTGGCTGCCTTTGACCACATCTTACGAACCTGGCACTTGTCCAACAAAGTTTAAAAACACTGTGTTCTCACAATGGCTATGAAGACTCTGAAGAAAGCATCATGGAGGACTGGCTCTGGGAGATGTGGAGAGAAGGAAGTCAAGGACTGGAGCCTTTTGTAAGTACTTGCGCCTGCTACTCCCAGCCCAGCCTCACCCTCCCCTGTTCACTCCCCCCATGTTAGAAACTGGCTGTGCCCCTGGGGAGCAGTTGGCATCTGTCAAGGGACTGACTGCATGAATACATTCCAGAGGAGAAAGACTCGGGATCCCATATGGGCCTCAGGTCTAAGTGTTTTCTCTATTCCAGTTTACTCAGCAGTAAAGCTGATATTGATCCCCATCTAATGCCTGTTTATATTTCTCAATTGTTTTCACTTCAGAAAGTGAGGAGACTGCTTATCACCCCGAAATGACAACAGAAGTCAGCAATAGCAATTCTAGTAATAATCTATGTATAAAAAGTACTAGATGACCAACTGAAACTACCAAGTAAATCCTAAGTGCTATGAAAGAAACACATGTGGTAAAATACAAATTCCTGATCTCAGGGAGTCTCCAACTGAAAAAGAAGAGTACTAACATAAATATATAATATATACATAATATATAACTTAGGAAGCCAATCACATTCAGACATATATATGTTCAGTTATTAGACTGAACCGTATGAAATCACCATTTTTGTAGGTTAAAAAGTAATCAGACATCAACACTTCCACATGGCCAACCTATTATTACCAACACCCAACATATTCACAATTATTTGACTTGAATTGGAAGCTGGTGCCATCACACTGCAGATTATCTGTAGGTCTCTCTACTGGCTCCTGGTTCTCCTCAGCCCTTGGAGATTTTTCATACCTGGCTCACTGTCATTTTTTCTAATGTGATTCTCAATATTCTTGGTGATTGCAATATCCACAAAAAACAATCCTCTTCGTACTCTGGTTTCTTGACTTCTTCTCTTGCAATGTTCTTGGCGTCTATTTTACCTCAAATACCTTAGACATTGGAAATTTTACTTCATTTTGCTTATAAATACCACTGTCTTTTGATTCTTCCTCACTGGCACATCTTGAATGTTCTCTGTTGGTTTCTTCTCATCAACTGACTTCTATATGTGGGGTGTCTCAGGCCGTCTTCAGGTGTCTTTTCTCCTTTTCCTATGCTCACTCCTATGTGCTCTCATCCAGTATCATGATATTAATGCCTTCTCTCGTTTGATGACTCTCAAATTCATGTCACCAGCTCAGACCTGTCCCCTGAACTCAGACTCATCTATTTGTCTTCTCAACATCATCTACTTGGGATATGTAATAGGCATCTTAAGCTTATCATGCCTAAAAATGACCTCTCTATTTTCTCTTTCCTAATCCACATGGTCCCTATCTCACCAAATGGCAATTTCATTTTCTAGTTTGCTTAGACCAAAGATCTTATAGTTAGTTAATTACCTTTGACTTTTCTCTTTCTTACCATATACCCAGTACACCAGCAAATCCTTTTGGCTCTACCTTCAGAATATATGGAGAATCTGATCACTTCTTACCAGTTCCACTTCTGCCTTGGTCCAAGTTACTCTCATCTGGATGATTTTAATAGCCTTGTAACTGGTATCCCTGCTTTTCCCCATCATCAAATCTCCACATAAATCAGATCATGTCACTCCTCTCCTCAAAATCCTCCAATGCCTTCCTACCTCACTCAGCATGAAAGCCAGTGTTCTTACCATGGCTTACAAGGCCGCTTAGGATCTGGCTAACCTGCTACTTCTCTGATCTCATATCCTTCCAGCTTTGCCTTTTTTCATGATGCTCTAGCCACATTCATCTTCTTTACAGACTTCAAACGTGTCAATTAGGCTTCACTTGAAAAACGTAGTACTAACTGCTCCCTCTGTGTAGAATGTTCTTTCACAGAGAGAAATGAGGTTGATGCAAATGCTCAGACAGTCCTTTATTAGGGAGCCTTCCTACAGCATCATATGTAAGACTCTACAGGTATTCCTTTTCCTCCTTCTTCCCACTTAACCTGACTCCAGACAGCATCCCCACCTGCTGTTATATCTGTTTTCTTCTTGTTTAGCATCTGTCTCCTAAGGGCAGGGATTTTCTTTTGTTTAACTGCTTAGTCTCAGCACCTAGAACAGTGTCTAACACATCATAGCACTCCATAACAAATACTTGTTGAATAAACTAAAGGAACTGCATTAACATCATATGCCAAGTGGTGTCTAAAATAATGTAAGGAATCGCCAAATTACAAATGGATTTTTTCCAGAAGTTTTTAAGTTGGGTGTTTGGAAATCAGTATGCATTTTCCAACAAATATGAAGGAAGTGCTGTTATTCCCATTTATGGTTGAGAAATCTGAGACTTAGGGTAAGTAACTATGCTTAGGTTTTCTGATTTCAGTACACCTAACTAACCACTACACTAAATTCCCAGGCCAGATTGCAAAACCATATGTAAGTCCATGGTTCGGATATATTCTATAAAAAAGAACTATAATGGAAGACACCTATCTTACACACAAATAGCTGTATCTAGAGCCTGGATTGACCTCCTAGCTCTCTAGATTGTTCATTCAGTTGCCCCTATTCCTTGGTGGTCCTTGCTTCCATCAGCCTATCTGCTTTCTTCCCATCCATCAGCTCACTGCTTTCTTGCCATCCTCCCCTCCCCAGCTTTGATTCCATGTTCCATCATTTGACTACTCACTTGCCAATATATGAGATTTTTGCTTTTTGTTCTTTTATTACCTGTCCTGTAAAACCCCAACCCTGGAGGAATACAATTATCTTCTGTACATACGTACCTACACTGCTGAGTTCTGCTCAACTAATTAATTATCCTTATAAAAATCTTCTTGGTCCTTAATACTATGTAGCAAATCTATGATTCTCATGCACTTTGTCTGTCCCTTAACAACTCTTTCAAAACCCTCTTCCCAAAACTTTCATCATCTACTATTTCTTGCATTACTCTTAGATTACCTTATCTTCTTTTTCATGGAGAAAATTTCAGAAAGGAACGACCTCAATTCTCTGCCACCAAATCTACATACAAATCTGTACCTGTCCCTAACCTTTCTACTTCTGCCACAGCGGAGAGTCTGTCCCTCCTATTTAAGTCCAATCTCCTCACTTGTCTTCTAGGTTCTCACTTCTACTTCCTTTTCAGGAATACCATCCTCTAAATTATGCCTTCTCTCTTGCACTTCTAACCTTTTCTTCTCTCTTGACTTCTTGACATTAGCATTTAAAAGTACTCAGATCTCCTCTATGTTAAGAATAAAGTCTCCCTTTGGGCGCCTGGGTGGCTCAGTCGGTTAAGCGACTGCCTTCGGCTCAGGTCATGATCCTGGAGTCCCGGGATCGAGTCCCACATCGGGCTCCCTGCTCGGCGGGGAGTCTGCTTCTCCCTCTGACCCTCTTCCCTCTCGTGCTCTCTCTCTCTCAAATAAATAAATAAAATCTTAAAAAAAAAAAAAAGAATAAAGTCTCCCTTAAATCCCGTTGCTAATCTCATTCTCCTCCATTCATAGCCAAAGTCCTCAAAAGAGTACTACACTGGAAATTCCCAGATACTGACCTATGCACTAGTATCACATCATCAGGAGTTCCCATGCATCTGTGGTAAAATAAGAAACAATAAGTTAATGCTACCCACGTTTACCCATTTAGCAAGTTCGAGATATATATATTGGAAGTTACCAATTGTCTTCTGAGGACTGTCTCACATTTTCCAAATGTGTAAAATTTTAGATTTATCTTTTAAAAACACTTCATTTGTGCTTCAACTTTCGATCTTCCTTAGCTGTGTGCTAATTTCTATAATATATATTCCAAGAGGGAGTAGTTTCTGCATTTTTGATATTTTTCTCTATATGGTATATATCTCTTTTATGGTGAGTATATTGGAAGATGGTAAAGAAATTAGCAGTCTTTTATAAACTCTGAAGGAGTTTAAGGCATTACTAAGTATCAGTTAACTCTAAGTTATCTTTTTTTTTTTTTAGGGTTTCTAAATAATTCACTGCATTTTGCAGAATATATGGTCTTTGTTCCCTTTTTTTATTTTTGGACTAACTTTATGGCTAAGTCAGAGTCCAATTTTTGCCTGTACCAAATGTCTGAAAGAATATCAGTCCTCTTATGTAAAATGTTATTCACATATCCTGAAGTTTACATTTTATGATTATGCCATTCAATTCTGAGTTTTGTCTGCTCAACATATTAAATATTTAGAGCTATATGCTATGGTAGATTTTCCAGTTTCTCCACATAGTTCTCAATTTTTGCTTGTATATTTTGATGTTATTTGATGTGTACAAGTTTAGAATTGTTTTATCTTCAAACTGAAATGACTTTTTATCATTATATAGTAATCTGATTTATTTTTTTTTTCTAAAGGCAAATCTTGTCTTTTAATATAAGAAACTCACTGAATCAAATGAATGCTGATAGAGCAAAGGTAGTATAATTAAACTGGGACAGGAAACTTCTAATTGCATAGGAAATACATGAAAGAATTAATCATTCTAAGAGAAGAATCATTTTCCTACGAGCCCCACTGTTATGGATGATATTTTTGTGAGCCTGGGCCACCTTCTCCAGTGAATACTGAGAACCTATTACAGGTCTCAACCAACCAATTTCCATTCCAGCTTGAAGGGCGGCTGCAAATTGCCTAAATTCCTCCTTAGTTGATGAATAGAGAGCAACTCCAATTATACTAGATTCCTTTGCCATGGTGTCCCGTGGGTTTATTTCAATAGGACCTCTGCTGCCAACAACTATTACTCGTCCTCCATATGACAGAAGATTCAAATCATTACTAAGATTTACATTAGCTAACATTTCAATGATCACATCAATTCGTTTTTCACCAACAGATTTCTTAATTTTATCAATATAATTAAGTTCTCTGTGACTGAACACTTCATGGGCTCCATTTTGCAAAACAATGTTTTGTCCTTCCTCAGTACCAGCTGTGCCCAAAACCTTTAAGACATAAGCTCTGGCAATCTGGCATGCTGCTAGTCCAACTCCTCCACTAGCCCCATGAACCAGCACACTTTCTCCAGCTTTCACACGGGCACTGTGGAGCAGAGCTCGATAAGCAGTAAAATAGAGAATACCGAAGGCAGCTCCCTGCTCAAAGTCCAGTTTTTCTGGCAGTGTGTAAACACTGTGATCTGCTGCGAGAGCATACTCGGCATAGCCCCCAGAGATGGTGCTGGTAGTGAAAACTCTGTCGCCTTTCTTGAAAGTGAACACATTATCTCCAACGGCTTCTATTACACCAGCCACATCTGAACCAGGAGTATAGGGTAAGAGTGGTTTTCTGCTGTAAGTACCAGAACGAATATATGTTTCCACTGGGTTTACACCACACGCGTGGACTTTGATCAGAACCTGATGGTCTTTTGGAATTGGTACTGCAATATCCGACTGGAGTTTCAGAACTTCTGGTCCACCAAATTCAAAAACTCGAATCGCTCTCATCAACTTCTGTCCAGTCGCCATGGTGATCCGGTTCTAGAGTGGGGAAGCAAAACCTGCGAAGGCTCACTCAGACTCCACAGAAAAGGGGACGGACCTGGGCCAGTAATCTGATTTATACAGTAACTTCTTTTGAATTTGTAATTAACATAGCTGTAATTTTTTTTGTTAAAATACCTTTTCTCCATTCATTGATTTTTCTGAATTCTTCTGTGTCTTTAAACAATTTTTGCTTGATGTTTAAAAATACGATTGAGGGAGCACGTGGGTGGCTTAGTCAGTTAAGCGCCTGACTCTTGGTTTCAGTTCAGGTCATGATCTCATGGTCATAAGGTTGGGTCCTTGCATGTGGTTCAGCACTCAGCAAGGAGTTGGCTTGAAGATTCTCTCCCTCTGCCCCTCCCCCACTCACATGTGCATATGCACGCACTCTCAAAGAAATCTTTAAGATGAAATAAAATAAAATAAAAAATGTGATTGAAAAATTTTGGAATGCTTGGCAAATTTACATTTTGATGACTTTTTTACATTGATTTCTGATATTATATGCTTTCCACCTATTTTTCCTTTTCAAATTTCTTTTCCTTTTTTAAGATTTTTTATCTATTTGTTAAGAGAGAGAGAGAGCGTGAGCACAAGCAGGGGGAGAGGCAGGCTCCCTGCTGAGCAAGGAGCCCAATGCAGGGCTTGATTCCCCGATCCTGAGAGCATGACCTGAGCCAAAGGCCAATGCTTAACCAACTGAGCCACCCAGGCATCCCTTTCTTTTCCTTTTTAAATTTCTTTTGGATTATTTTTTCCCCTCTTTTTGTTGGAGAATATATGGTCTTTGTCTCTTCTTTCACTAGTTACCTTAAGTATTTTATTTTTTTTAAGATTTTATTTGACAGAGAGAGAGATAGCGAGAGCAGGAACACAGGCAGGGCGAGTGGGAGAGGGAGAAGCAGGCCTCCCGCAGAGCAGGGAACCCCGTGCAGGGCTCAATCCCAGAACCCTGGGATCATGACCTGAGCTGAAGGCAGACGCTTAACAACTGAGCCACCCAGGTGCCCCACACCCTAAGTATTTTAATTTGCCTACTTAACAAAGTTAACATTTTTTTCCTCTCCTCTTGAACAACTTTAAGACCTTATAATAGTTTGTCCAATCTCCCTCTCACTGTCAACAGCATGCTATTTTTGCCTAATACTTAGTTTTAACATCCCTTTTACAAATTATTTTTTTAAATACAGTTTTGCTTAGTTTACCCATTATTATCTTTGATATCTTTGCTTGACATTTCTTTTCACATCTCTGACCTTCCTTCTGGGATAATTTTCCTTCTTCCTAGACTTTCTCTGTTGTAATTTCTTTTAATAATGATCTATTGGTGATAAATCCTCTCAATTTTTCTCTCTAAAATATCTTTATTTTGCTTCATTATTATTTTTTTTGCCTTACTATTGGAAGAAACTTTCTAGGTTGACAATTATTTGTCTCAGCTCATGGAAGATACTCTTCTGCTGTCTTTTGGCTTCCTATCTGCTGGTGAGAAGCCAGCAGTCTGCTGAATTGACATACGTTTGGGTGATTACTCTTTTATTTTCTAGCTCTTTTTAAGATGAAACGTTTTTCTATGTAGTTCTGCAGTTTCACCACGATGTGTTGAAGTGTCTGTCTTTATTTATTATGCTTGGGATTCCCTGGGATTCCAAGATCTGAGGTCTCAAAAATTCTCAGTCATTACCTTTATCATCTCTTTCCCATTCTGTTACCTACTTTTTATACTTCAATCGGACATATATTAGACATTTTCATCATCATGTTCTGTGTCTCTCTTGACCTTTATTTCATCATATAGTCCATCTCCTTGTCTCTGTAAACTGTACTTGGGGCCACTTATTCAGATATATTCTAGTTTATTAATTCTCTCTGGCTTTGTTTGATGTTTAATGCACCAGCTGAATTTTTAATTGTTTTTTATTTTTTTTCTTTCATATCTGCTTCGTCTTTTTTTTTTTTTTTTTAAGATTTTTATTCATGAGAGACAGAGAGAGAGGCAGAGGCAGAGGGAAAAGCAGGCTCCCCTCACAGCAGGGAGCTCGATGCGGGAGTAGATCCCAGGACCCTGAGATCACAACCTGAGCTGAAGGTAGACGCTTAACCGACTGAGCCACCCAGGCACCCTGCTTGGTCTTTTTATTATGTTGTAGTTCTTGCTTATATTCTGGAGTTTTATTTAAGTATAGTTTATATTCTACATTTGGTATTTTAAAATTTTTCTACTTGTTTCTCTTTGTTCTAATGGTATTGTGTTTTTCTGTGTATTTTTTTTTTTAAAGATTTTATTTGTTTATTTGACAGAGAGAGAGAGAGAGAGGGAACACAAGCAGGGGGAATGGGAGGAGAAGCAGGCTTCCCGTGGAGCAAGGAGCCCGATGTGGGACTCGATCCTAGGACCCTGGGATCATGACCTGAGCTGAAGGCAGACGCTTAATGACTGAGCCACCCAGGCGCCCTCTGTGAATTTTTAATTTTGACTGTGAGCTGCTTATTTTCTTTGAAAAATTTTTTTGGTAGGATTTATTTTAAGGTCAGAAAAACAGAACCAACTGAAACCATTTCAAATTGAATTATCTCCTTGAAATTTTTTCTTTTAAAATAAGAGGTAGTGTGACTTTGAGTCACAAACCCATCTGAAGCCAGCTTATGGTTACATCTCAAGGGAAGATTCTTTTTCCTTCCATTCTACTTAGTGCCAAAGAAAACATTTCTTTGTACCCCTGTTTGTGCAATAAGATTTATTTCTCATGCACTGTTATCCTTGAAGGTATAGCCCTTTGTAGTCACTCATGGGTGAATACAGGCTCCTACATCCCATTTCTTGGGTTCCTGTTGAAGCCAAACCTCAAAGTCTCTGGGATTTGGCAGAAACTTTTAGGTGAGAGTGAGCTTGGTACTTATCGGCCTTGGACGTTCCTGCTTTCCCTCTGGTATCTATAGATTCCTTTCTTTTATGTGAATGAGTGATGTTTCAAAAGATATTTGCAAATATTTTATCCAGTGTTATCAGTTGTTCTATTAAGGAGTACCATTCACAGTATCTAAGCTGTCACACTACTGAAAGTAGAAGCCCTGGTTTTATAAAATCAAGGTCAAACTCCCCCACTTCCCTTGGGTTTAAAATGAGTGAGGTGCAAAATCCCAGGAAAAAGAGAGAAAGGAAGAAAGAAAGAAGTCAGTGCATTTAGTACTTGTTTGTGACTCTGTGTAGTTAAATGGTTGGTATATCAGCACCATTCCCCTCAGCTCCTGGGTAGAAGTTGCAACAATGGGGGTGGGAGGAGAAGAAAGAACAGTGAATGTGTTCTTAGACATGTAAGATGACTTCTCATCTTTCATTTCTTATTTAGACCACATGGCAAATTGATCAGTTATTTTCTTTCTTTCTTTCTTTTTTTAAAGATTTTATTTATTTATTTGACAGAGCGAGAGAGTACAAGCAGGGGGAACAGTAGAGGGAGAGGGAGAAGCGGACTCCCTGCAGGGAGCCCGATGCGGGGCTTGATCCCAGGACCCTGGGATCATGACCTGAGCCGAAGGCAGACGCTTAACCATCTGAGCCACCCGGGTGCCCCTGATCAGTTATTTTCTAATATTAAAGAGAAAACTTTGGATCCTGTTTACAGTTGGAACTGGGCAAGATGTGGAATTTTTTTTTTTTTAAGATTTTATTAATTTGACAGAGAGAGACACAGTGAGAGAGGGAACACAAGCAGGGGGAGTGGGAGAGGGAGAAGCAGGCGTCCAGCCGAGTGGGGAGCCCGATGTGGGGCTGGATCCCAGGACCCCAGGACCCTGGGACCGTGAGCTGAGCCGAAGGCAGACACTTAACGACTGAGCCACCCAGGTGCCCCAAGATGTGGAATTTCTTAGAGCTAATGTATTTGTTATATAGGAAAATGTTAGTATTGAATTGGGAAATGATACTTTATGTTCTATGAATGCAGTAACTAGTAAATAATATATTAAAAAGAATATTAGATTTAGAAGTAAAACTACAAGAAAATTAAATCTATTAATAACAGAGAGGGCTTGGAACTGAGAGAGTATATTTCAAAACATTTTAAATGAAAAGTGCACTGGGTAAAGGGATGCTCTTGGAGGGTCATTCAGAGATAGACACCAGGATTTCCAATCTCAGAAGACACTGGAGCAAAAAGCACGTTTAACCCAACTGGTCTGGGTGGAGTAATTTAAGATGGGAGTAAAAGATCAGCCAAGCTGCGAGGACAGAATTTTTTAAGGCAGATGAAAGAAAGGTCACAGTAGTGTGAATGCTGGAGTCAATGAAACCAAGATGGGAGACTCCATGAAGACAGGACTATGAGCCAGATTTCAGGTGGGTCAGGATACTGATGAAGAGCAGTGCAGAACTGCAGTGGTAATGGGTATGGATGGTATGTGCTTCAAAGCCTGAGCTGATGGGTGGGGTTAATGAGAAGTTTCAAAACTGGTACTTGGGGCCATGGTATATAATTCTCCAACTCTGGATGCACTGGAATGAGAGCTGAATTCAGAGTGGAAAAAGATCAGAAGGGGCATTTTCATGGGAGAGTCAAGAACAAATTTGTCTATTAGAATTTTTTGTTTACCCTTGTTTTTTGTAGAATTGATAAGATTTTTAAAAAATTTTTTATTGTTATGTTAATCACCATACATTACATCGTTAGTTCTTGATGTAGTGTTCCATGATTCATTGTTTGTGCATAACACCCAGTGCTCCACGCAGAACGTGCCCTCTTTAATACCCATCACCAGACTAACCCATCCCCCCTCCTCCCCCCCTCTAGAACCCTCAGTTTGTTTTTCAGAGTCCATCGTCTCTCATGGTTCGTCTTTACCCTTCTGTTAAATGCTTAAATCTTTGTCCATTTTCCTATACTATGGAAAGGGCACACTGGTGTGGAATGAGGTTAGAGTAGTAAAAGGAACACACACAAAAAAAATTGGTAGTCACAGGTGGAGAGGTAGAAGCAGCAGTGATGGTAAATGTAGAAGGCCTTTTAGAGAGGATTTTTGGACTAAAAATGAAGAACAAGGGAACATGCAAGAAGGTTCTGTTTCTGTAGACAGATAGGGAAATTCTTTTTCTACACAACAACAGAAAATTGAAAAACATTCCTACTGCTGTGCAAACTGATCTAAATTAGGATTTAGGGTTGAGGTGCTGTGTAGAACAGCCTAGGTTGGTCTGAAGTCCACTGGTCTTTCCTAAATAAGCACCACACTTGAGAAAGTCATTTTATACACACAGCTGAATGAATGCTGGTGGGCTGCTAAACTATTATCTTAATTTTAAGTTCTCCCGAACCTAGGTATATCCCTGGGGTTTTTCTGCTACCAGTTAAAAAAACAAACAAAAGAACTCTTGGTGGAATATATTTGGCAGCAGAATGAAAAAACAGGTACTAATATTTACACAAACATAAAGAATAATAAAGAAAAAGAATAAATAAAACATTAGAAGCTTAAAAGCACTGCCTATTTTTCTCCCTGGGTGATTGACTAGCTGTACAACTTAATTTTGTCAGGTGGTAGTTAGGGAACTAATAGCAGTCATGACTTGATTCCTTACCTTGGCATCCACTTATATTTAAGTTTTCACCTTTTTAAAGGAATAATGAGGCGTGCCTTGTTTTCTTTGTTCTCCTCCTCACAGTTCCACTTAGTTTCTAAGGACCAGAATTAGGAAATTGCATGATGGAAAAATAAACACTAACAAGTAGTGCTACACCCCTTTTTCTCTACTAGCAGCACTCAGAACAGGATTGCAAAACCTCATTAGATTTGCAAAACATGATAAGAAAAATAAACACCTGCAGATCTTAATTTATTAAGTCCTGGCTATGCTCTCTGAAAATTTATCCTTTATGAAATACAAGGGCAGCACTGAAACACAAAGCTAAATGGAAAGATGGCATATTGTTTCTCCATCATAGAAAATAAGCCTCAGCAATATTTAAGAGAAGTAGTCCAGTGGCATAAAATTAAACAGAAATACACCAAATTGTATTTTCCTGGGGTGAAGTGAACAGGAAATGTCATAAAGCAAAACCTGCCTTAACAACCATCAAGTTCCCTTAATAAAATATGCACTTTAAAATAAACTAAGCCAATAGGTGGGTGAGGAAAGGGGAAATACAGTTGTGGAATTTTTTTTTTCCACATTTTGTTTCTAATCTTTTCATTAAATGAAATGGATTTCAACAGGACCGAGCCTGAAAAAATTACAATGGAAGTTACCTGTATTAAGGCCCTCAGGCTAATATTACAACAATGCCATTTAAAAAAAGTATCATGAAGAGAAAGTCAGTTATAAAAGCTATCCTATCTTACTAATTTGGTTAATGAAATATGGTAGAATGTTTTAATATGTTCTTCTGTGTCTTAAAGGCTTAGAATAACTGAAAAAATATAATTCCTGCTAGAATAGAGAGTTGAAGCCATGGACTGATTGGCATCTAGACTGGGACTGACCCAGGAATTGCATGGTATTTGGATAGGTACTGGGCCATCAGGTATGATGAGTTCATTTTCGGAATTCAGGCCTATCCTAAGAGGTGTGAATATATTAATTTAGTGTAATGACTAACTTCTTTCTAGAGAATGTGAGAGTTTTGTGTCTGTATGTCAAAAAGCACAGGCAGGTCCTTAATGGGGGAGGAGAGGGCAAGAAACTACTGAGAGTTTGAGCAGGTAATGGAAGATGGCGCAGCTTATGCTAGACCAGCCCTCTCACACACACAAAATTAAACTTTGGATAAAACATTAAAAATTATGTAAAGGTAATGGAGAATGACCAAAACCATGCAGAAACTTGAGGGGAGTTAACACTAGTAAGAGGGGAAACATATTTTTTAACATCTTTTCACCTTAGGGCAGACCCAGTGCCACTAAGAGTAATTAAAACTCATGTAAGAAGCTTAAGTCATTACTAGTCAAGGAATCAGAGTACAGAGTTCAGAGTGACCAAAGAGTCTGGAAAGTGAGAAGGAAATCCTGAAAAGGAGAGAGTCACAGAAGGTTGTAGCCACACTGCCCAAATCTCTCACTGATCTCCGAACTCCACATCCTTGGGGCTGACTTCAAGAAGCCCAGCTAAAACAAAAAGAACTGAATAGATATTTCAGCTGTTGCCCACCATAGGGGAGACAGAATTTGGAGCTTCAGATCAACCAAGTTAACTGCCTACTAAACATAAAAAACATAAAAAATAAAAATTCTTCAGAACAACAGCACAGAATGCACAGTTTCTACAATGTATTATTCACAATGTCCAGGATATAATCTAATCAGGTATATGAAGAAACATACTCAAAAGACCATCAGTGGAGACCGACCTTAAGATGACCCAGATGTTGGAATCAGTAGACAAGGATTTTTAAGCAGTTATTATAACTCTGCCCCAAAACAAAGAAAGAAAGAAATGGATAGGAAATTTCAGCAGAAATAGAAACTATTAACAATAGGATCAAATAGATTCTAGAAGTGAAAAATGATGTCTGAAATTTAAAAATCACCAGTTGTGTGTAACAGCAATTTGGAGATGGTAAAAAAGTGAGTCAGTGAACTTGTAGATAAGAACAATTGAAATTATCTAATCTGAAATGTGAGCAGTCAAAAAAAAATTGGAGGTAGGGAGCTTTTTCTTTGGTTATTGTTTTTATTATATATAAAACCTTTTTTGACATGGCTACTGGACTGGTAAGTCGGGAATGCTTGATTTTGACAGTGCTTTAAGCAAAGTTTTTCATGACATCCTTTTGTACAAGAAGAAAAATGTGGACCAGATGACCATAATTAGATATATTTATTGTTGACTCCTGTCATGCTGCCAGACTGCCTTCAGTGCTATAATGGGGGTTGGAGTAAAGTGTAATGACAGAAATGGGGAAGGAACACTTATCTATTACCTGCGATTTTTTATTTCTGTCCTCCTTCAGTAGCACATAAACCCCATGAGGGCAGGCAGTGCATACTTTTAATCTGTATCTTCCCAATTGTCAGGACCTGTAATTAGTTCTGCTCTCTGGAATGGGACAAGACCTGGGGAAGCATGAGGGTGAGCATGGTGACAGGGAATCCAGGAATGCACTATGTTCAGAAATTGAGGCAGATAGAATGCTTGTTCCAGGGAAATCAGTCAGCTGGCAGATGGTCTCAGGTACCAAGCTAGTGTTGGAGGCAAGACTTCAGTCTCTTGAGGGTAGTGTTTCTCAAAGTATAGTTCAGATCACTTGTTTCAGAATTACCTGGAGTGCTAGTTAAAATGTTAATTCTAGGAAACAGTCCTAGACTTGCTAAGCTGGCATCTTTAAGGGTGGGTCTTGAAAATCTACAGGTACCTTAGATGATTCTTACATCTATGAATTTGAACTGTTTATTTTTAGGGGCGGGGGCTGGCAAAAGCAAGGAACAGGCTAAGTCCTAGGGCAGGTGTCAGAAACTTGGCAGTTAGCATCTTGGGCTGGAAAATTCTTTGTTGTGGGGGACTGCTGTCCTGTGCCTTGTGGAATGTTTAGCAGCATTCCTAGTCTGTAACCCTGTAGATGCCAGTAGCACCCCCTCTCCCAGCTGTCACAACCAGACATTGCGCAATGTCCCCTAAGAGGTACATTAGTCCCTGGTTTAGAACCACTGCTTTGGGGGACCTGAGTAGTAAGCCTGTGCCTAGCCTAAGGATCAGAGGAAGAAGAACACAATATGGGGAGATACCCAGCTACTGGAATTGGAATGTCAAGCTAGGACTAGATTTACAGTAAGAGCTCCTTTATAAGGTTGCTATTGGTAGCTTAGCTTCCTTGCTGTAGAGGGGCCGTGTAGCTCTGGAATACAAAGGCTGAGAACTAGACAGGTCTGGCACCTTAGGTCAGGTCTCAACCCTGGCTGTGCATCATCCATGAGGATTCGTAAAAATATACAGATACGTCAGCCAGACTCAGTCCTTCTGAAGCAGAATTTCCAGTGATGAAGCCCAGGCATCTGATACCCGGATTCTGATTCCTGGATTCTGGAACACTCACAGGGTTAGACGACATCTGGAATAGTGTGTTTAGGAATTCAGAGAAACATAGGCTAGGAATAAAGGTGTCTCAGAATAGCAGACCTCAGCAACGTGTAGTATCTGAACCTCTTTAGTAGTTCCATTCTCATCCTACCCTGTCCTCTACAGATGAGGACAAAAGCATCACATACAGATACGTTGTGGCTAAACTGCTCTAAGTAGAGAATTTTCCCAATTTTACTCTTATTCTCTGTTCTGAGCCTACCTGCTCTTTTGTAATTTCTCCTGTTCCCATCCCACTGTCAAAACCTGATTTCTTTCTCTTTTCCCACCCACTTGGTCTGATATCTGTTTGGCTTGTGTGATTTGGGCAATATTTAGGAGGCAGAATCAAAGCCTTGTTGACTGGAGTGGGAGCTTCTCACTTCCTTTTAAAGGTCCCAGTAAGAATCAATGGTGTAAGGTAATATAAAGGAAAACTGTAAAGCAATAAGAGATTCCATAAACTGCATAAGAAACACAAGGTTCACAGAGTACCATCTCATACTTTATGACAGAAAATCTAGAAAAGAGAAAAGATGCTATGGCATGTTCACTGTGTACTTTGTTTCAATTCCATGTGAAACACTGCAGTTAACTAAAAAGTACACCCATGGGGAATCTCGGTTAAACCTGATTAATCTTACTTAAACTAGCTACTAGTTCAGCAATCAATAATTCCATAACAGCCCAAGAGCTCTGTAAAAACACTTCCACTGATTATTTTATTCAGAAAAAAAACAAATAGGAGAAGAAAGAAACACATTCTGGTCATTTGCAGTATCTATCAGCTTTCAATTTGGCTCTCCTGTTTAAACAAAGACAAATGATAAAAATTATGTAAAACATTCCATATATATCAACTACTAAATATATACTCACACTCAGAAATTGTGTTCTCCATTTTGGTTATTATATTGCCATACTACTTATATTAAAATATTTTAACTAAAATTTAACTTTTCAATGTTGTTTCATATTAAATGTATTCTATTCTTATGAAAGTCTTTCATAATCTTTAAGAAATGTTGCCTAAGAGCTTTTTTAATCCACAATAGCAATTTTAATTGCCTCTGAATTTAAGCATGCCCTAAGCTTCTATTTAGCAGGGTGGCAATGTTCTATTTTCATGAGTGATAAAAGTTAACAAGACATAAGCCTTATTCTTAAATCATTTGCTAACTTCTGGTAACAACTCGATCAACTAGTTAACAGGATATACATGATGAAGCATTATCTTTATCAAGTAGTGTGAAGAAATGTTTTAAGACTAATTTTGCAACACAGGACTTTGAAGGAGTGGCAGATTACCAAATTCTCTTTTAGTCTGGCACTTACTTGATTTATGGTTATAAACTTACAGCTAACCCTCTCTACCTACTTTTTTATGTTATACATCTAGGACATTACTTACCTAAATAAGAACAGTTTTAGATAAATATTAATCATGTGCTATGATAAAATCCTACACACTTCTAGATTCAACTTAATAAAAGTGTTTCAATTTTATTTCATTTTATACTTAGTAATTTTTAAACTGATCTGTTTTTCTGTCATTTTAGGAACCTGCTGTTCTACTAGAACCCACTGAATTTTGAAATTAAACTATTTCTTTCTAGCCCTGTTCTAATAATTATAGAAAGATGATGTTAAATAAATTTATGAAGGGGTTTCAGCCAAACCTGAATGTCTTATAAAAAAATTTGTAAGTTTTTGTAATCTATTTTTAGATATTGTTTCCTAGGTGATCTTTTCCCAGACTTATGTCCTTTTTAGGTAACATTACTATGTTCACAAATTACAAGACAAAAATTTAAGAACTGTAATAACTGAAAAAGAACATTGGTTATATATATGCCATTTCTATTGGATATGAAAATAGTTGGAAATAAGTAAAAATATACCTACCTGTCCAGAAGTGTTTCATGCAAAAATCCATCTTTCCGGGCCTTTTTGAGAATTTTACTGTCTTCTTTACTTATTTTAAGTTTGTGGTCTTGGAAGCTCTGAAATTTCTTTCTGTTAAGAAAATGCCTTTCTTGAAAATCATCTCAAACTGATTATACATGTTTACTCATGAACTTACAAATATTTTAAAAGTTTTTCATTTATTTAAAAAAAACTAATTGTCTTTCTTTAGAAACATACAGCTTTTCAACTGCGAAGATGACCTTAGTCCTCCTCCATGAAGAGGACTACAAAGGGCAGGACTATGAAGCGCCACTGCCACTAAGGTGTGATGGCTGGAGTCCTGAATCCTGGCTATGGAACAACATTTGGTTGGCATTATGTCCCGATAAGCTGTAGTCAATTCTATTAATGAATATGGAGAAAAGACTAATCCAAGTGACTTTAGCTTTGAAAGCTAACAGGATAATTAGGAAAACTGAAGCTCTGAGAAAAGAAAAGTATTCAGCTTAGTTCTTTGTCCTAGAGTCCATTTAATGCTGCCTCTCGTCCTTTGGATATTTTATTTTACATGTCTTGAGAAGTACTTCATTGCCAAATATGTAAGGTCTAAAAGGGAAAGAATACGTACACGTAATTGATTTCACACTGTTTAACATTTCCTTTGTCTTCTTCTGGAATATCATCTTTTTTCTTAGTTTCTCGTTCAGCACAGGATCTAATCTGGACAATGGCGATGAGAACCCAACAGGTTATACATATACCTTCCCCTTCGCCACTTATTTGCTAAGAACCCTCTAGGTAATTTCTCATGCAAATGAAGAAAACAATCAACTTAGCAATCAGATTCAGAGAAAGGTTCTAGATATTTTTTTTAAGATTTTATTTAGTTGAGAGAGAGAGAGAGAGAGCACAAGGGGAGGGGAGGGAGGGGCAGAGGGAGAGAGAGAAGCAGGCTCCCCGCTGAGCAGGAAGCCAGACGTGGGGCTCGATCCCAGGACCCTGGGACCATGACCCTGTGCAGAAGGCAGACGCTTAACTGACTGAGACAATGAGGCGCCCCTCTAGATAATGTTTTTATTTATATATGTATAATTTATACAAATAATTGCTATTATGTTTCTCCACAGCCTTTGCATCAGACACAAAAGACAAAATTATTTGAAAAACATTTTATAGATCAGATCCTGCTGAGCAATTAGGCAATAATTTAATTAATTTTGGCCTCAAAGTAAATATTCAAATTATCCCTATAGATAGTGTTTATTTTGTAACACTGGAAGTTTAAGATAGTAGCTATTTTAATTTGCACAGCTATTCCCAAATCCATTAAAACTTTTAACATGACACAGCTCACTTATTTACTTAATTGGAATCCACTCCTTCTAAATCTTCCTTATAGCCTCATAAATTGCGACAGATATTTATTATCACAATGCCATAAATTGATATAGTAATTAGGATCCACTGAATGGGGCAAGAAGGGGACAGAATTCAGGCCCCAAGAACTGGCCATTTGCAACCCAGAGCACAGGATTTACGTCTCCAAAGTGATCTTTGTGGCTCAGAGTCCAATTCCAAGGCTGCTTAGAAAGTGGTGCCCAATAAGGCATGTGCCAGTGCTACCTGTGTGACAGGTTTGGTTAAGGGGGTCCTGGCAGACCTGGGAAGATTACTGGCCAGGGCCTGTGACAATACTACTTTTGACAGGAGGGAATGTGTCCTGATAGGCTAAAAGGTGGACAGCTGATACAGACTAGCAGAGCCTGTGAAGTAAAATGCAAGATGGAAAGAGTTCTGGATTATCATTGCTCAGAGCTTCCAGGTACTTAACTAACCAAAGAGACTCAGGGAAATGTAACAGACACTTCATATAAAAACAGCTGTAATTAAATACAGCAGTTTTTGTTTTGTTTTTTCCCATAAAAGTGCAAAGTACTGCACTTTATTTGCATTGTCTTCAAAAATCATACTTTTAGGTAAGTGAGACATCCACCAGCATTTTTCTAATGACCTGTTTCCTGAGAGGCAGTATGGTAGTTTCTAGTCAGTTGGGCCTGGGTATACATCCTGTCTCTATCATATCTAGCTGTGTGAGTTCATGACTGATAACAACAGGTGAGGATGTAAGGAGGCTCAGAGGCTCTCTCCTCATCGGTAAAGTTAAGATAATAGGTACTTCACAGGAACTTTGTGAAGATTCAAGAAGACAGTGCTTGTGTCACATTCAACAGAGTGCCTGTAGCTGCTGGCTTCTGTTTTGGTTTGTAGGTTTTTTTTTTTTTTTTAATGTAATTGAAAAATGTTATGACTAACATTTATTATACACCTTGTAATTCTGTTTTTGGGAATTTATCCTCAGATATACCTGCACACCTACAGAATGATGCACATTCAAAGTTATGTGTTACAGCACTGTTTCTAAGGGCAAAAGATGGGAAATCACCTAAATTTGCATTTATGAGTAACTGATTAAATAAATTATGGCTTATCCCTAAAATGGGATATTATGTAGCTGTTAAAAAGAGAAAATTTTCTACATAGTGATAAGGGAAAATCTCCAAGATAAAAATACTAAGGAAAAAAAAATCAAGGTCGAAAGGAGGATATGCAGGAGGCTAACTTTATTGTAAAAAAGTAGAAAATTATAAACATTTTTATTAAGAAACTCTGGTAGGCTATAGAAGGATGGGAGTCATGTATTTATATGCTTATATTTTTAAAATTTTGAACCATGTGAACCTATTTAAAAAGTTAAATTTTAAAATGCAAGCAAGAAAAAAAAAAAAGGAAACAGAGTCCTAAAAAGCATGTGGAACTACTCAGAAAAAGATACTAATACATGGAGGTAAGATATAATAATTTCGCTACCGCATGGTACAAAAAAGCCATCAGTTATAGGATTTATAATTAAGCTTTTTATAATAAAGCTTATTCAGAGCATAATATAAAACATTGCATTACATCTTTAAAGTGATAGTAAATGACTTCAACATTTTTAAGAGGTACAGTCACATCATATATGTGACATGTATTAGTCTACAGAAAAATGAAAAAAAAAATTAAAGAAAAATGTCATGATTACCTTTATCATTTCTTCTTCTCCTGCTGTTTTACTTTTTGCTTCTATATCACCTGCTTCATTGCATCTAATAAAGCAGCTATTTGAAGCCAATAAAGCCATTTTTCCCTATATAAAGTAATATAAAAGTTACAAGACTACTGCAAAAGAATTAAGTCTTGAGAATGAAATTAATTTTGCCCCTTAGCCCCAACTGTAAAAGTAATCAGTAAAAAGAATTTGGAGAAAACACAGAAGATAAAAAAAACATACAGAAAAGAAAACCAAAATCACCTATAATCTTACTACTCAAAAATAACCTCATTAACTATTTTTAGTATATTCTATTAGTAGGACGAATTCTAACTAGATGAAATAGAATTGTTTCCTTTGGCCTTAAAGATCTATTGAGGCTATAACTGATTTAGTTCTGTTTGAAAAATAATTAGCTTTTAAGGCAATAAGAGATTATATAATGCATAGTAATTTATTAAAAAAATCGTGTTTTAAGTAAAAATTTTTTCATATTTAGAAAATACAAAAATATACAAGAGCTAGCTTTTGGTGCTTTTGAATTTACTGCTCAGAACTTTAAGAATCAGTGTCAAAGGGAGGTTTTTATGTGGACAAAAATGATGGTGGGCAGAGGTACTACTGCTATTTTTGTTGCACTATTTCCTCCCACAGTTTTACTGAGATATAATTGACAATCACCGCATAAGTTTAAGGTGTACGGCGTAATAGTTTGGCTTAACGCTTATTGTGAAATGATTATCTTAAGTTTTAGTTAGCATCCATCATCTCATGCAGTTAACAATAAAAATAAAACAATTTTTTTCCTTATGATGAGAACTCAGGGTTTACTCTCTTAACAACTTTCCTATATATCATACAGCAGCGTCAGCTAGAGTCATCATGCTCTATGTTATATCCCTGGCACTTATTTATCTTGTGATTGGAAGTTTGTATCTTTTGACCACCTTCTTCCTCTAACTCCTAATCCCAAAACCTACCGCTCTGGTAACCAACCACAATTCTGATGTCTTTTTCTGAGTTTTATTTGTTTGTTTTTAAGATTCCATATATAAGTGAGATCATACAGTTGTCTTTCTCTGACTGACTTCACTTAGCAAGGTCCATCCATGCTGTTACAAATGGCAAGGTTTACTCACCTTTTATGGCTGAATAATATTCCACTGTATATGTGTATACCACAACTTCTTTATCCATTTATCTATCAATGGACATTTAGGTTGTTTCCATATCTTGGCTCTTATAAGTAATACCACTGTGAACATGGGGGTGCAGATATCTTTTCAAGTTAGTTTTTTGGTTTCTTTGGATATATTCTCACAAGTGGGATTGTTGGATCTTATAATAATTCTATTTTTAATTTTTTGAGGAACCTCCATACTGTTTTCCACAGTGGCTGCTTCAGTTTGCATTTCCACCAGCAGTGCATGAAGGGGCCCTTTTCTCCACATCCTCCCAGCATTTATCTCTTTTTGAAGATGGCCATTCTAACAGGCAGGAAGTGATACCTTATTGTGCTTTTGATTTGCATTTCCCTAATGACTAGTGATGTTGAGCATCTTTTCATGTACCTGTTGGCCTTTCATATATCTTCTCTGGGAAAAAATGTCTAGTCAGGTCTTTTGCCCAGTTTTTAATTGGGTTATTTGTTTCTTTGCTGTTGAGTTGGTATCAGCTCTTTATATATTTGGGTATTAACCCCTTATCAGAAATACGGTGTGCAAATATTTTTTCTCATCCTATAGGTTGTCTTTTCACTTTGTTGATTATTTCTTTTGCTGTGTTGCACTGTTTTTCAAGACCTTTTTAAGGTTACGAGTTCGTATTGGTTTTCAATTTAATGGGTTATATTACTGCACTCTATATTTTTGGGGGGTTTTTTTGGAATATATATTCTCATTGACTGTTAAAGACTGTATCTTACATTGACAAGAAGCTTTTGTGAACAATAATAGCACTTACATCTTGAAAGACTGGTTCCCATTGTTCTCTTGGTCCAATTGCATCTGAACGCCCCACAACAAGTCCATCTGAATTAATACCAAGGTATTTTCCATAGCCAGATTTCAGGGCAATTCTTTAGATTAACAAAAAGGAAATGTTAAAAGCGGAAAGAAAATTGAATATGGAACATAAAAATAATGTTTGTGTGTGTACAGAAATCCAGGCTAGCCAGAGTCCAAATTTTCAAAAGCCACATGTGGTTAGTGACTACCATATTGGACAGTGTAGTTCTATATATGTAATTTTATATTGTAGTTACAAGGCTCCTATTACATGCTATCAAATTGCTTTCCAGAAAAAATCTGTATCAACTTAACATTCTCACCTCAAGTCAGGAGAGTATCATTTCACCATAGATCTATTAACATTATGCCTTTTTTAGAAAAAATTAGAATATCAGATACAGGAAAAATAGTATCCTTTTTAATTGATATTTTAACCATTGTAAGTGACATTTGTACTTCCCTTCCTTTTTAGTTTTTATCTTTTTGTCCATTTTTCTGTTGCTTTCTTACTGCTTTCCTTAGTGTTATGAATCCTGTACATACATACAAAGAATAAAAATTCGCTGCCTGTTAACGTTGTTGCAAATATTTTCCTCATTTGCCTATTTTATATTTTTTGTTTTCAACTGTAAAGAAGTTTGCGTTTATTGATTTTTCTTCTGCTGCTTTTATTCTTTAAAAGTCTCTTAGGGGCGCCTGGGTGGCTCAGTCATTTAAGTGTCTGACTTCAGCTCAAGTTATGATCTTGTGATCCTGGGATGGAGCCCCACAAGCTCCACAGGCAGGCTCTGTGCTCCTCGCTCAGCAAGGAGTCTGCTTCTCCCTCTCCCTCGCCCCCTCCCCAGTGCTCACTCCCTCTCTCCAAAGTAAATAAATAAATCTTAAAAAAATAAAAAAGTCTTTCACTATACTTATTGGCCACTCAAATAAAGCATAGGAATGATAATCTTTTTTAAGATTTTATTTATTTATTTTGATATATATAGAGAGACAGCGAGAGAGGGAACACAAGCGGGGGCAGGGTGGGAAAGGGAGAAGCGGGCCCACGGGACTCGATCCCAGGACCCCGGGACCACGACCTGAGCCGAAGGCAGACGCCCAACGACTGAGCCACCCAGGCGCCCCAGGAATGATAATCTTAATGTGATTTTTTTTAAAGAAAAAAATATGATTCCTTAACTTTTAGCTTACCAATCCCTTGTGCCAAGGGACTGATTTTATATTAATTTACAGGTTAATGACAGTATAATGTAAATCATTTCATGTTGATGCAGCCAATTATTAGCATACTGAAATTCAATTTCTGTGTGCACTACCCAAAGTATCATTCTGTACTTTTGCACTGTGAGAATAAAAAAGGTCAGCTTATGAAATGATTGTAAAAATAGTAAATAAAATATTCTTTTGGTCTTCATGGCTATGTTGTAACATTCTCTATTGATTTTAGTAATTTTAATAATATTCCTTCTATCTTGTTTATCTCTTCCATCTTATTGTGTCTTCTTCAGTTTTTTTCATGAGTGTTCTGTAGTTCCTAGAGTATATATCCTTTACCTCTTTGGTTAGGTTTATTCTGAGGTATCTTACGGTTTTTGGTGCTATTGTAAATGGAATTGTTTCTCTAATTTCTCTTTCTACAGTTGCATTGTTAGTGTATAAGAAAGCAACTGATTTCTGTGCATTGATTTTGTATCCTGCCACATTACTGAATTGCTTTATGAGTTCTAGTAATTTGGGGGTGGAGTCTTTTGGGTTTTCCACATAAAGTATTATGTCATCTGCAAAAAGAGAGAGTTTGACTTCTTCTTTGCCAATTTGAATACCTTCTATTTCTTTTTGTTGTCTGATTACTGTTGCTAGGACTTCTAGTACTATGTTGAACAACAGTGGCAAGAGTGGACATCCTTGACGTGTTCCTGATTTTAAGGGAAAGGCTCTCAGCTTTTCCCCACTGAGGATGATATTCGCTGCTTATGGATTGGAAGAATAAACACTGTTAAAAAGTCTATGCTACCCAGAGCAATCTATACCTTCAATGCTATCCCGATCAAAATTCCAATGACATTTTTCAAAGTGCTGGAACAAACAATCCTAAAATTTGTATGGAATCAGAAAAGACCCCAAATCACCAAGGAAATGTTGAAAAAGAAAAAGTTGGGGGCATCACGTTGCCCGATTTCAAGCTATATTACAAAGCAGTGATCACCAAGACAGCATGGTACTGGCACAAAAACAGACATACAGACCAATGGAACAGAATAGAGAGCTCAGATATGGACCCTCAAGTCTATGGTCAAATAATCTTCGACAAAGCAGGAAAAAATATGCAATGGAAAAAAGTCTCTTTAATAAATGGTGCTAGGAAAATTGGACAGCCACATACAGAAGAACGAAACTCGACCATTCTCTAACATCATACACAAAGATAAACTCAAAATGGATGAAAGACCTCAATGTGAGACAGGAATCCATCAAAATCCTAGAGAACATAGGCAATAATCTCTTTGACATCGGCCACAGCAACTTCTTTCAAGATACATCTCCAAAAGTTAGTGAAACAAAAGCAAAAATGAACTTTTGGGACTTCATCAAGATATCTTGTTTATATCTTGACTTCTGACAAGTAAGTTAACGTATCACAGCAACATCAGACCAGGTTTTGCCTTATGTCTGTTTTCTTTACATGATCTTTCTAATCTATATCTTATTTGGTCTGTGACATTATTAATATTCATTTTTTTTCTAGCCTAGTATTATATATTGCTAGGAATCATAGTGTGTTTTTATTTGGAGCTTTAGTTCTCTTTCAAAGACACAGTTGCTGCAAATGAAATTTAATAATACCTAAATACAGCATATATGTTATATTTTTTTATTTTTATTTTATTTTTTTTAAAGATTTTATTTATTTGAGAGAAAGAGAGAATGAGAGAGAGCACGAAAGGGAAGAGGGTCAGAGGGAGAAGCAGACTCCCTGCCGAGCAGGGAGCCCGATGCGGGACGCGATCCCGGGACTCCAGGATCATGACCTGAGCCGAGGGCAGTCGCTTAACCAACTGAGCCACCCAGGCGCCCTATGTTATATTTTTTAAATGTCACAAAATATACTTTCAAAAAGATTGTTTTGCTTTTTACATCAAAATTGGTCTGTGGAATTAAGTTAGCTTAATTACCTATATATAGAAATTTTTCAGTGAATAAGTTTAAATTTTTTAAGATTTTATTTATTTATTTGACAGAGAGAGACAGCGAGAGAGGAAACACAAGCAGGGGGAGTGGGAGAGGGAGAAGCAGGCTTCCCATGGAGCAGGGAGCCTGATGTGGGGGGCTCGATCTCAGGACCCTGGGACCATGACCTGAGCCGAAGGCAGACGCTTATTGACTGAGCCACTCAGGGGCCCCAGTGAATAAAATTAAATTAAAAAAATAAAAGGTGATTAATTATAGTTCAACTTACTTACCTGGAATCAGACAATTTGACAGCTGTAAACTGCTCTGGAGGACTAGGGCCCTCATCAACTATAGGAGAAAAAACATTTGAAATGAATTTGACATCTGTTACAAATATACATGTAAAGATATTCTTCAGCTTTAAAAAGTTTTTTTTAGTGCAGTTGCTGGGTCGTAGGGTAGCTCTATTTTCAACTCTTTGAGGAACCTCTGTACTGTTTTCCAGAGTGGCTGCACCAACTTGCATTCCCACCAATAGTGTAGGAGAGTTCCCCTTTCTCCACATCCCCGCCAACATCTGTCGTTTCCTGACTTGTTAATTTTAGCCATTCTGACTGGTGTGAGGTGGTATCTCATTGAGGGTTCTAGAGGGGAGGGGGGTGGGGGATGGGTTAGCCTGGTGATGGGTATTAAGGAGGGCACGTATTGAATGGAGCACTGGGTGTTATACACAAACAATGAATCATGGAACACTACATCAAAAACTGATGGAGGGGGAGATGAACCATGAGAGACGATGGACTCTGAAAAACAAACTGAGGGTTCTAGAGGGGAGGGGCGTGGGGGGATGGGTTAGCCTGGTGATGGGTATTGAGGAGGGCACGTTCTGCGTGGAGCACTGGGTGTTATGCACAAACAATGAATCATGGAACACTACATCAAAAACTAATGATGTAATGTATGGTGATTAACATAATAAAAAATTTAAAGTATAAAAAACAAAAACTAATGATGTAATGTATGGTGATGAACATAACAAAATAAAATTAAAGTTTTCTTTTAAAATTAAATCTAAGAATATTGTGATATTTTGATATAATCATAATTATTCAGATTAGAGCATCAAGATCTACTTTATCTTCTTATGACTACAGTGTTAGTTTTACATACTTAATAGGTAAGTCAGCATGATGCTTACTCACTTAAATTTTCTTTTTGTGTTTTAAAATACACTCAGTAGACAGACAAATAAGCATTTAATACTTAAAAAACCAAATGCTTTAACTTATTCAAGGGATGGACAGTCATACTAAAAGATACTGCTTTTTATCTTCTGATTGCTTCGTATCTCATTAGTACTTATTCTGATGGGCTAGAAGGAATAACAAAACCTCAAATTGTTAATAATGCTCCAGGTTAGTTTTGGCAATAGGTCTAAAGAATAAAGGAATCAAATCTCTGACTCAACTAGGATTCCCTTTCAATTTCAATTATTCATGTTGCTTTTGATTTCAATTGATACTCTTCTGGAACTATAAAGAATGTTTTCACATGCTTACATTGGAAAGAGGGATTTGCCAATAATTGGTAAATATTAAGGAAGGAAAAAAGAGGAAGAGTCAAATGCAATGGATTTATTCCTTTGGAATATACTTGAGATTAGTTAGAATTTGGCCTAAGTGAATGAATGTCATAAAATATATACTTTAAATGGGCTTTTCCCTTCCATTGCTTCTACTAGACACAGACCTTCTTTATGTGGAGCTCCCAGTGTAAAAAGTCCATTGTCAAGTGCATGTATGTAGGTTCCTTTATCCATTTCAATTGCTATGGTTCCTGATATTTCACCAAAGTTTGTTACTGTCCACCAGATTCCTGAAAAATAAAATCAATTTTAAATTTTTATTTTAGATTTGACACAAGGTTCTTATTTGTTGTTCTTGTTATAACTTATTTTTTTAAAACTTTTTATTTTCCAGTTATAAGAAATAATACAGAAAGATCGCCTGTACCCTTTACTTATCTCTCCCAGTGGTAACATCTTACATAATTATAGTACAATGTCAAAATCAGGAAAACTACCCTTTATACAAACTATGAGCCTTATTTAGATTTCATCAGTTTTATATAAACTCATTTCTATGTTTGTATGTATGTGTATACATGTAGGTGACCACCACCCACAATCAAGATTACATTCTTTTCCAAAATATAAAATAGCAGTGCATGTGAAGGCACAAAATGATGGCGAACAGTCTCTTTCATTTCCTCCCCAGCCATCCATGGCTGCTTTCCAGAGGCAATGACTATTATCACCTGTTTCTTACGAATCCCTTCAGAAAGACTTTCTAGCACAGTATTCTTTTTTTCCCCAAGTTTTTATTTAAATTCCAGTTAGTTAACATACAGTGTAATACTAGTTTCAGGTATAGAATTTAGTGATTCATCACTTACACACAACGCTCTGCTCATCACAAGTGCCGTACTCAATACCTTTCACCCTTTTAACCCATCTCCCTGCCCACCTCCCAACCAGCAACCCTGTTTGTTCTCTATAGTTAAGAGTCTGTTTTCTGGTGTGTCTCTTTCTCCCTCTCTCTCTTTTTTCCTATGTCCATCTGTTTTGTTTCCTGAATTCCACATACGAGTAAAATCATATGGTATTTGTTTTTCTCTAACTTATTTCACTTAGCGTAATGCTCTCTAGCTCCATTACATTGCAAATGGCAAGATTTCATTCTTTTTTATGGTCTAGCATGGTATTCTTTTTTTTTTAAAGATTTTATTTATTTATTTCAGAGAGAGAGAGAATGAGAGATAGAAAGCACGAGAGGGAAGAGGGTCAGAGGGAGAAGCAGACTCCCTGCTGAGCAGGAAGCCCAATGTGGGACTCGATCCTGGGACTCCAGGATCATGACCTGAGCTGAAGGCAGTCGCTTAACCAACTGAGCCACCCAGGCGCCCTAGCACAGTATTCTTAACCATGATTTAAATTAGAACCAAAATGAGCAGAAACTATGTACTCTATTTACATGAACAGAAATGGGTTTCTTTTTTTATTCATTTTTAAATTCAAATATAATTAGCATACAGTTATATTAGTTTCATATATACAATATAATGACTCAGGAATTCTATACATTTCTCAGTGCTCATCAAGGTAAGTGTACTCTTAATTCCCCTTCACCCAATTCACCTATCCGCCTACTCATGATGCACATTCAATACAAGCTCTATCAAAATATAAATAATTTTTCACAGAACTAGAATAATCCTAAAATTTGTATGGAACCACAAAAGATCCCAAATAGCCAAAGCAATCTTGAAAAAGAATACAGCAGGAGGTATCACAATCCCAGATTTCAAGATATACTACAAAGCTGTAATAAAAAAATAAAAACATTATGGTACTGGCATAAATATAGACATACAGATCAATGGAACAGAACAGAGTGTCTAGAAATAAACCCACACTTTTATGGTAAATTAATTTATGACAAAGAAGGCAAGAATATAGAATGAGGAAAAGACAATCTTCAACAAATGGTGCTGGGAAAAATGGACCACTTTCTTATACCATATACAAAAATAAACTCAAAATAGATTAAAGACCTAAATGTGAGAACTGAACCCATAAGACTTCTACAAGAAAAGATAGGCAGTATCCCTCCTGATTCTTTGACATCAGCTGTAGAAACATTTTTCTTAGATATGTCTTCTCTGGCAAAGGAAACAAAAGCAAAATTAAACTATTTGAGACTATACCAAAATAAAAAGTTTTTGTGCAGTGAAGGAAACCATCAACAAAACAAAAAGACAACCTACCGAATGGAAGAAGTTAGTTGCAAATGATATATCCAATAAGGGTTTAATATCCAAACTATATAAAGAACTTATACAACTCAACACCAAAAAACCCCAAAAAATCCAATTAAAAAATGGATCGAGGAACTGAATAGAAATTTTTCCACATAAGACATAGAGATGGCCAACAGACACAGAAAATGTTTAACATTACTAATCATCAGGGAAATGCAAATTAAAACCACAATGAGATATTACCTTACACCTGTTAGAATGGCTAAAATAAAAAAAAAAAAAGACAAGAAATAACAAGTGTTGGAGAAGATGTGGGGAAAAAGGAATCCTTGTGCACTGTTGGTGGGAATGCAAACTGGTGCAGACACTGTGGAAAACAGTATGGCGTTTCCTCACAAAATTAAACAGAATTACCACAAGATCCAGTAATTCCACTACTGGGTATTTACCCAAAGAAAATGAAAACACTAATTTGAAAAGATAGATGCACTCCTATGTTTACTGCATCAGTTTATTGCTGGGCTTTTTGTTCTGTTCTATTGATCTTTGTATTGTTTTTATGCTAATACCAAACTTTTGATTAGTCTATCTTTGTGATATTGTTTGAAATCAGGAAGTGTGGTACCTCCAGCCTAGTTCTTCTTTCTTAAGACTGCTAGCTATCTGGGGTCTTTTGTGGTTCCTTACAAATTTTAGCACTGTTAGTTATTTGTGAAAAATTCCACTGGAATTTTGATAGAAACTGCACTGAATCTGTAGATTGCTTTGAGGTAGTATGCGTATTTTAACAATTTAATTCTTCTGATCCATGAACATGGAATATCTTTCCATTTATATGTGTCTTCTTCAAATTCTTTTATCAATGTCATACTTTTCAATGTACAGGTCTTTCACATCCTTGGTTAAATTTAATCCTAGGTATTTTATTCTTTTTGGTACAATTGTAAATGGAATTATTTTTCTTAATTTCTCTTTTAGATACTTCAGTATTAACATAGAGAAATAGAACAGATTTCTGTATGTTGATTTTATATCCTGAAACTTTACTGAATTCATTTATTCTAACAGTTTTTTTGGTGGAGTCTTTAGGGTTTTCTATATATAAGATCATGTCATCTGCCAATAGTGACAGTTTCATTTCTTCCTCTCTGATTTGGATGCCTTTCTTTCTTTCTTTTTTTGCCTAAGTGCTTTGGCTAGGGCTGCCAATACTATGTTGAATAAAAGCAGCAAGAGTAGGTATCCTTGTCTTATTCCTGATCTTAGAGAAAAAACTTTCAGATTTTCACTGTTGATTATGAAACTAAATTGTACGTTAACTAAAGGAGAAATCTATCAGTCATTAATAAGATATTAGATGATATTAAGGAATTCTTGTTAATTTTGTTAGGTCTGATAATGATATACTCTTATGTATTAAAAGAGCGAGCAGGGCACCTGGGTGGCTCAGTAAGTTAAGCGTCTGCCTTCAGCTCAGTTCATGATCCCAGGGTCCTGGGATCGAGCCCTGCATTGGGCTCCGTGCTCAGTGGGGAGCCTGTTTCTCCCTCTTCCACTCCCCGTGCTTCTGCTCTTTCTCTTTCTCTCTCTCAAATAAATAAATAAATAAATAAAATCTTTAAAAAAATTAGCAAAACAGAAGGAAAGAGTGAGACTGACTTTATCAGCAATGTACATTTATGTATATATGGGTAGAATGACATAACATCCTGTTTTACTTTAATATTCTTCAGAAAAAAATGGGGTGCCTAGGTAGCTCAGCTGGATGAGTGACCGACTCTTGATTTCAGCTCAGGTCATGATCTCAGGGTCGTGGGACTGAGCCCTGCAGTAGGCAGTAGGCTCCACACTCAGCAGGGAGTCTGCCTGAGATTCTCTCCCTCTGCCCTTCCTCCTGCTCACGCAATCTCTCTCTTAAAATAAAATAAATCTTAAAATTCTCCAGAAAAAAAATGTGCATAGGATATTATCTCAGAGTAAGAAAGTATGTAAGTGAAACAAGACTGGCAAAATAACGATCATTACTAATGCTGGGGGTATGGGCACATGGGAAATTCACTATATTCTCCTCTCTACTTATGAATTAGTTTGAAAATTTCCATAAAACAAAGTTTTTAAAAATTGAGTCTATCACACTGCATAAAATTTCCTATTCATCTAAATAAGGAAGGCTTTTGGGGCGCCTGGGTGGCTCAGTCATTAAGCATCTGCCTTCGGCTCAGGTCATGATCCCAGGGTCCTGGGATCCAGCCCCACATCAGACTCCCTGCTCCACGGGAAGCCTGCTTCTCCCTCTCCCACTCCCCCTGCTTGTGTTCCCTCTCTCACTGTGTCTCTCTCTGTCAAATAAATAAATAAAATCTTTTTAAAAAAATAAGGAAGGCTTTTTATACCCAATAAAAAATTAGTAAAATTTTCACTTACATGAAGTTGGACTTTTACCTAATTTCATATACACAAATTAACTCAAAATGGATCAAAGACCTAAATTTTAAGAGCTAAAACTATAAAACTTAGAAGAAAACATATGGTAGAAGCCTCACAGTATTGTATTTGGCAATCATTTCTTGGATATGACACCAAAGGCACAAACAACAAAAGAAAAATCAAACAAATTGGACTTATCAAAATGAAAAACTTTTGGGCCACCTGGGTGGTTCAGTCGGTTATACATCTTACTCTTGATTTCGGCTCAGGTAATGATCTCAGGGCTGTGAGATGTAGTGCTGAGTCAGGCTCCATGGTAGGCTGTGGAGCCTGTTGAAGATTCTCTCTCTACCTTTGCCCTTCCCCAGCCTCTGTCTCCCTCTCTAAAAAAAACAAAACAAAACAAAAAAAAACAAAACTTTTGTGCATCACGGGACACTATGGAGTAAAAAGACAACACAAAAAATGGCAGGAAATATTTGTATATTACATATCTGATAAGGGATTAAGATCCAGAATATATAAAGAACTCTTAAAAAACAACAACAACAACAAAACAACCCATTTCACAAAATGGGCAAAGGACTTGAATAGATATTTCTCCAAAGAAGATACACAAATGGCGAATGAGCACATGAAAATTGCTCAATATTGCAATTCATTGAGGAAATGCAAACTGAAACCATTACGAGATACCATTTCATACCCACTAGGATGGCTACTATCACAGAACCAGAAATAACAAATGTTGGTGAGGATATGGAGAAATCAAAACCCTTGTGCACTGCTGGTAGGAATGTAAAATGGTACAGCAACTATGCAAAACAGTTCTCATAAAATTAAAAATGGAATTACCATATGATCCAGCAATTCCACTTCCAGGTATATGCCCAAAAGAATTGAGAGCAAAGTCTTGAAGAGATATCTGTACACCCATATTCCTAGCAGAATCATTCAAATAGGCAAAAAGTGGAAGTAACCCATGTGTTCTTTGAAAGATGAATGGATAAACAAAATGCAGTATATACACACAATGGAGTATTATTCAATCTTAAAATGAAGGAAATTCTGACACATGCTACAACATGGATGAACCTTGAAGACCTCACCTGATTTCAAAACATTATGAAGTGACAGTAATCAAGACAAATATATCAGTAGAACAACAAATCAATGGAACAGAGTCCAAAATTATACCAACCCATATAAAGTCAATTGATTTTTGACAAAGATATCAAGGCAGTTTAATGGAGAAAGGAAAGTCTATTCAACAATGGTGCTGGAACAAGTGGATATCAATATGAAAAAATGAAAAAAGAACCTTGACCCCTAATTCATACCAGACCAAAAATTAGTTTCTAATGTAAATACTAAAACTGAAGCCTCTTAAAGAAAATGTGGAAGAATTTCTTTATGACCTTGGGGTTAAGCAATAATTTCTTAGACTGAAGATAAAAGGCAGTAGCCTTAACAGAAAAAAAGTAATAAATAGGGTTTTATAAAAACTAAAAACTTCTATATCAAATTGTTCTGCTGTATACCTAAAACTAATACTGTTATATGTGAATTTTATTATAATTGAAAAAAAATTCTAACTTTTGCTTTCTGAAAAATACCATGTAAACAAATTAAAAATCAAACCACAGAGTGGGAGGGAAGACTAGTAACAGAACTGTATTACTTCTTGGTGGGAGTATAAAATGGTGCAACCACTTTAGAAAATTCTTGGTGGTTACTTAAGTAGTTAAATATCCACCTATTCTTTGACACAGCAATTCCATCTCTACATATCTATCCAAAATATTTAGAATTGTTGATTTGCTGTTTCAAAAAAAAGTGAAAATTTCTAGAATATTCTTTATACCATTTCATATAAAATGCAAGGGAGCCAAAATTTATGAAATTTCAAAATGCAACTGGCCAAGTTTTAAAAGAGAAAAAAATTGCTTTAAAGTATAGATGTGGAAAGGATCAGAAGGCACGCTGGTTAAATGTGTTTGGGTCAATTTATCTCTGGTACCATTTACAGGCTATCTTGATGCTCTGTTCTGTTTCATTAAGATTTTCATTCATTTGGGGGCGCCTGGGTGGCTCAGTCAGTTAAGCGTCTGCCTTCGGCTCAGGTCGTGATCCTGGGGTCCTGGGACTGAGCCCCACATTGGAGCCTGCTTCTCCCTCTCCCACTCCCCCTGCTTGTGTTCCCTCTCTCGCTATATCTCTCTGTCAAATAAATAAATAAAATCTTTAAAAAAAAAGGTTTTCATTCATTTCATAGTATACAAAATAATCACTTTTACTGTGAATTACTTTTACTGTTCCTTTAGACCAATACATATCACTGGCTTGTACAATTAAAATGCATACATGGTCAGGAGTGTCTGGGTGGCTCGGTCAGTTAAGCGTCTGCCTTTGGCTCAGGTCGTGATCCCGGGGTCCTGGGATCGAGCCCTGTATGAGTCTGCTTCTCCCTCTGCCCTTTCGCCGGCTCGTGCTCTCTCCCTCTCTCTCAAATAAATCTTTTAAAAAATGCATACATGTTCAAAGAAAATAATTAGTGAAAAATATTTAATTAAATAATATTTATCTCTATCAGGCCTCTAAAATTATGTTCAGAATCTCTGGGATATTAAGTAGTCTAATGATGGTATCAAATAAATCAGAGAGCTCTATTTCTTCTCTCCGTGCCTTGTCCAGATGATGAAAAAAAGGCATCAGCGGCATCTACTGTGCCAGACGATAAAAAGAATCCATAACTTCAAATAATATTGAACACTTTAAGAAAACTCTGTATAGGTCACAAGTTCTTTTGACTTTCTTTGAACTACTTATCCCTAACTAGGAAAGTATTTTTAAAGGCAGCTCAACCAATGTTAACTTTTCTCAGAATAAAGTATAGATACCTTACCAACAATATCAAGTTGAGTTTCTTCATCTTCTTCTCTTTTTCTCTTCTTCTCTTTGTTCTTTTTTTTTTTACTGCAGGAGATGATTTATATAGGTGAGTTTATAAATATTGATTTGATGTTAAGTATCACAAGATGCAATCTTGGAAGAATCTTTTAAGCTGTACATAGATTTATGAATTGTTGATTTACAGTTTTCTACACTGATGTACTCTCTTCCTTCTAATACTGAGAAGTCATTTCTGATGCTGTATGTATTGTGTTATAGTTAAAGAGAACAGGTTCTGGAGCCAGACTGCTTTTTTAATCTTGATATTGTCATTTCTTAGCTCTGTGACTTCTGGAAAATTTACTTAATCTCTGTCAGGTTCTCACCTGTAAAATGAGGATAATAATTTAACTGCGCTCTTAAGGTTACTGTGAGGATTAAGAGATGACATGTACCTTCACGTGTTGCTGGTGAAAATGTAAAATGGCATAGCCACTTTAGAAAATAGTTTGGGGTTGTTCAAAAAGTTAAACACAGAGTTACCATATGACTTAACAATTTACTCCTAGGTATATATCCAAGAAAAATGAAAACACACATCCACACAAAAATTTTATTAGAATATTCAAAGCAGCATTATTCATAATAACCAAAAAGTGGAAACAACCCAAATGTCCCTCAACTGATGAATGGAAAAACAAAATGTGGTATATCTATACAATGGAATATTATTTAGCCATAAAAATAAGAGTACTGATACATGCTACAACATGGACGAAGCCAGATACAAAAGACCACATACTGCATGACTCCATCTATATGAAATATTCAGAATAGGCAAACTGCTATAGACAGAAAGCAGATTAGTGGTTGTCAGGGACTAGGGGAAGAGTGGAATGGAGAATGACTGCTAATGATTATGGGGTTTCCTTCTCAGATGATGAAAATGTTGGGCAACTTGATAGTGGTGAACTTTGTGAACACACTAAAACCCACAAAATTGTACTTTATAGGGTAAATTTTATGATATATGTATTATATTTCAGTAATAAAAAATTCAGACAATACAAATTTCAGATTTATTCAGGGTAACTTCTTTGTGATTCAGACCCGTAGGCAGAGTTCTCATGGGCAGTGGCTTCAGCTTGCTCCTTAACACTTTCTTTTATCTTACCTAAAAGTACCAAAAGCTATCACTGAGGCAGGCTGAAATGCTCAACGTTTGTATGAATAATCAACTCTGAGCAAATCTATCAGTTCAAAGACAGATGGAGATATGAGTGGGCAGACACCTTTTCCTAAAAACCTAGTAATCATAAATCACTACAGCCTCCTCCTTGCCTCTGGCTCTCCTTACTGTATATGTTATCTCACTTAATCCTCGTAATCTTTTTATAGTACCATTAATCTTTCCTAATGAATGATTAAGTGGAAGCTCAAGGATATAAACGAACTTCCCACAAACTGCAAAACAAGTAACTGGTGGGAATCCAGATTTGAGCCCACATCCGTATCAAAACCCACATCTGCATATTATATTAAAAAATTAAGGTTTTTTTTTTTTTTTTTTTTACGGGGGAGGGACACAATGGTGAAAATAAGTATCCCTAATAAAGGAAGTTATTGTTATGACGCATGGCATCATCAGACTAAGGCAGACGCACCCTGCGGGGGTCTGGAGCGGGGCCTTATCAAGGGACGCAGACTTGTGGCTCCTGGGCTACTGGTCTCGCTTTCCCGTCTCCTCCCTTCTGAAAGCGCGACAGTCAGGGCGCCTCTGCGGCGGCCTGTCTCTCCAGCTCTGCTCAGGTGCCCGGAAGTGAGTCGCAGCATCAGTCCATCCAGGACCAGAGGCCAGGCCCAAGGGCTGGGAGCCTGAATAAGAGCTCTCTAAGGCTTGCGTGAGACTCTCTACCGGGGAGGGGAGGCGAAGACGCAGTGCTGTCAGAAAAGAGCCGGAGTCTCCAGCACAAACTTTGGCCTTACCTCTTAGCCTTGGTTCCCTTGAGCACGAGTTTGGTGGACTTCACATACGAGTATTCGGCCATAGTTCCGGGGACACTCTGTATATAACAGATGAGAGCTGGCTAAGGGCAAAATACCTCCACTGGAGAAGGAACTGGCGAGGGAGGCCCCCAAATAGTCACACTGCACACTCCCGGAAAACGTACGTAACTGCGGGAGTAGACTTGGCCCTCCTGCGTCCCTAGTGTTTTTTCACCCGACTCTTGAATTCTATTTCCTGTGTCCTGTCTGGGGCTACGGCAACCGCAGAGGGCCGCAATACGTCAGGGTTCATTTGCTCTTGAGAACTGAAATGTTCGGGCTTCCCTAAGTGAGGAAACCTGGGGAGACGCGCCCTCTGGTGGACGCAGACGGCGTAATAGCTGTGGAGCCATTCTTGAGGTATCCTCTTGCGAGGTCTCAGGAGAAGGGCGACAATTTGATCAGCAAAAAGGTGATGTGACTCAATCAGCCCTCCCCGTTCTACTAGCTGTGAGCTGGGCCCGACTACCCCGCGCGACCGAGTGTATTGGGCCTCGGACGATTTCCAAGCGCTTCCAATTCCAATAAACGCCTATTGTATTAACTAGAGAGACTTGAGTAACGTACAGGAAACAACTAGGGAGTAAAAGAAAATATAATTAAGTGCATAAATTTGGGCCACAGATTTCACAAGCGCTGTAGGAATTTGGGTGGAGGTGGGGTGGGAGGTTGACGTTGAAAACTAATGTAATCAGAGAAGTCTGTGTAGGATGGGTCTTTACAGAGGCTTTCGGTCTCAGTCACTGAGCAGTTCTCCTGCCTGCTCCAATCTCTTCAACAATTTCATAGTTCACTTCCCTGATTCCATTTTCTCCTGCTTCCAAACCATCTCTGGTAATGCTACCCAACGGATCTTTCTAGAGAAATAGCCGATTATTCCCCTCTCTAAAATCTATTAAACACAGCCTATTACTTTCGGGAGGGAAAATCCTGGCATCACTTAATAAACTCTTGACAATCTGGCCTCTTTTCCTGCCACTTAACCCCTGCCACCTTAGTTCCAGTCACACTAAGTGGCTGGAAATGTTTGAATGGTGTCTGTTTGCTTCTGCTGCCTGGAATGCTGCCCTTCCCTCTTTCCCACGCTCTTCATCTGGCACGGTTTTTCAACCTTTAAGACAAACTGGGGCATTATTTGCTTCTGTGAATATTAATAAAGGGAAACGTCACTAAAATGGAGAAAGGAGGAGAGAAGAGGAAGTTAGGAGGTGAAGCCTTACCACTCAACTTCAGTTACAGGAAGAATTGTCAATTACAGACCCCAACAGAAGAATCATCAGCAAGAAAGAATCATTAATTACAGGCCCCTGCAAGGGAAAGATGTGTATTGTATCTCCTACAAGATCTTCTACCCCTGAAGCTCAGCCCTTAGAAACCATCATCACCTGGACGTCTTTTTTCCCCCAGTGGACTTTTGTTCAGAATAATCTCTCCCAGTTTCCTCCTTCTTCCGCGCAAAATAATGTTCCTCTTCTTTGTTAGACTTGCTCATGGTTTTGCCATAGCTTGCATGTCCCGAATTGCAATTCTGTTATTCCCTAATAAACCCATTTTGCTAGTAAAATAACTGAAAGTTTTATTTTTCCGGGTTAACACTTCAAAACACCATCCCCAAGCATCCTGCATTTCTCATTCTGTAGCCAATTGTTTGCTTTTTCAGGGCAGAAACATAAATAGCTTATTCATCTTTGTTTCACCTATACCCTGTGCTGTACCTGCCTCAAAGTAGATCCTGCGTAAATGTTTGTTAACATGTTAAGATTCTAAAGCCCGAAGTGTAGCTCTGTGATAATAAAGACAGTGGAGCATTTAGGAGTGTGGCTTGATTAGATAGGAGGGTTTGTGGTAGAAAAATCAGAGGAAGAGAATTGGAGGGGTGTAGCATATCATGGAGGCCACTGGAGATCCATTCCTAATTTATCAACCATCTCTGCAAAGACACCGTGTGCTTGGTAATAAGATGGTGGCAATCGGATGGACAAAGTCAAGGAGCTAGATGAGTGCTGGGCTGTGAAAGGAGCAGTGAACAGCCCAGTTGGTTGGAGCGCAAGGCATGTAGAGTACAGTGGTGGGAACCAGGATTGAGAAAGCAAAGTGGGGTCATTTTGTAGCTGAAAATTTTGCATGAAATCAGGAACCAGTTGTGAGGGATTAAATTTCAGGGGGTGAAACGAACAGAGCGGTACTCCAGGATGGTTATTCTGCAGTACTTGCGTATGTCCTGTAAGCCCTGAGCCTTGGCTTTTCTTTTTGTAATGCAAATAACTGGCAAAAGATGGTTATCTCAAATAAACACATTGCCTACCACAAGACTAGATAAAGAGCCAGGCCACCTCCCACCCCACTGAGGCTCCTTTGTGATCTCGGTTGATTTCAATAACTGGCCATTTGGGCCACTTGTCTTTTCTCTTCCTGAGCTTTTAAATTTGCACTCTTATGTTTTAAATTCTCTAAGAGTGAGCCTACGAAACCCTAGGCCCTCACCCCTGGCTCCAATAAAAGCAGAAACCCCAGCCTGTGCACACTTGTGTGTTCACCATCCCCTCTCCCTCTGCCCCATATAACCTCACTGTGTGGCCCCAGCTGTGCTGTGTCTTATACCTCTATTTTTTTTCAAAGTTTCCCATTGTTGTTGTTAAAGGGCATCTTGCAATCATAATAAGAAGCATATGGCCAGTCCAAACACAACACTGGGTATCAATATGCTAGATTGGCACAAAACAGTGTGTGAGTTGTGTGAGTGATACCAAAACCCTCTTATTCAAGCTGCGACTCTTTACATAATGTAGAAAACGTGGAGGCCAGTTGGCTTCAGGAATCTTAGGAGACATTATTAAACTCAAGATTCCTGGTGGCACCATAGAATAAGGATGGGCCCATCTCAAAACTGACTCAGAAAACAAAACCATAGCAAATAATTTGGTGGGTTAGTATCCTTGTATACTAGTATCACATCTTTTTCAATATTTTCACACTACTTCCCTTTTTCTTATACTGTAACAATCTGGGTCCATGTTAAGAAAAAATTCCCAGAGCCATGAACAAAAGAGATAGGATGAGAGGGTGCTCATGTTGGCTTTTATAAGTGACATTTGGCAAAAACTCAATTTCCTCATCTCTTAAAATAGGGTTAGTAATAGTACCTCTGAGAGTTATGAGGATTTAATGGTGTAATTCATGTAGAGTGGTTACGATCCACAAGTAAGCGCTCAGTAGATATCAGTTGTGACTATCACCAACCTTGTTATTACTACAGGTTATCATCACATTGGCAGGAATGTTGAAAGCAAGAGAATGGATGCATGCTCTGAGGGAATGAATGGTGAGAGACCAGAAGAGCAGGAACTAAACCACACAACCATGTAGTAAGGGGGTAGAAAGAAAAAGTGAAGACAGGAAGATAAAAGAGGAAGTCAATAACAGGGTTACAGTAAAATTATAGCAATCAAGACTAAGTAGAGGGGCGCCTGGGTGGCTCAGTCATTAAGCGTCTGCCTTTGGCTCAGGTCATGATCCCAGGGTCCTGGGATCGAGCCCCACATCGGGCTCCCTGCTCAGCGGGAAGCCTGCTTCTCCCTCTCCCCCTCCCCCTGCTTGTGTTCCCGCTCTCGCTGTGTCTCTCTCTGTCAAATAAATAAATAAAATCTTAAAAAAAAAAGACTAAGTAGGAACTCCAGAAAGAGCAATATTATTTAATATTGAAGATGTTCAGAAGAACAGGATGGAAGGAAGCCCATTGAGTTGACCCACAGGTGATGTGTGGGGAAGCATTTTCAGCAGAGCAGTGTGGCGAGAAGTTGGCTTGACCTAAAGAGTAGGTGGAGAAGAGGTAAGAGCAGCTTGCTATTGACTGTTTGGCTGCATGGGAAGCAAATAAGGGATGGTACATTCTGCATTTCTGGATTTCGTTCCTTCTTGCTCAGCCACTGTATATACACAGAGTTGTAGCACAAAGTTATAGAAAATAAAAATGAGACCAATTTCATTTGTAGAACCAAATCAATACCTTATGCTGAAATTAAGATAAATTCATGACTCTCCCTTCTATTCCCACCCTCGGTTTTTAAGTTAAACAGCGCTTTTCCTCTTCATTAATTTCCTTTCCAGATCCTCCCAGGTGTCAGTGGTTTTCAGGAGTTATGTAAGTCCTCTAGGTTCTTGATGAGTTGAGGAGGATGAGGAGGTGTGAACAAACACTGTTTTCAGCAAAGGGAGGATTTTGAAATTCTGTTCATGTGTTTTCAGTAACTGTTCCAAGTTTTCAAGGTTATTCAATGACAGGGATCCTTGTGTGATTTTCCAAGCTTTACTGATAAGAACCGCAGCAGATATTTGTTTCAGATACTGATTCCCAGGTCCCCCACATAGTGATTCTTATTCAGAAGATCATTGATGAGACCCAGGAATAGGTATTTTTGACAACTGTCAAAAGTGATTCTTACAGCCAGGCAAATTTGGAAAACATTGACCTAGCTTTTATATTTTCATTGCTGGCAGCTGAAGAAGGCTGTTCCCCAAATTTCTAAAAATAAAATACTTTGTAAAGGAAAATTGTATGACTAGATAAAATATTTATACACATACTATATGTATTGTACTTATTATATACTTCTATTTATAAAGATGGGTAAGAATACTCAGAAAAAAATGTATATTAAATGAAACGAGGAGTGTGTAGGGGTAGAGATGAATGCAGCTTATTGCTACAAAAAAAAAGAAAGTTAAAATGTTAGAAATCTAATGTTGCAAACAGCATTTTATAAAGTGCAAGAGCTTCAAAATCATGCCTGAATCTTCTTTGATGTTCAGTTGTAAATGGTGACTTTGGACTAGATTTAGGGGAGAGACCAATTATGCTTTAAAGTGTTCTTGTAAAAGGCTTTAAATGAAAGAAAATCCTTATATGTGGTTGCAGCAATTTAAATTGAAGGCTTTTAACAAATTACTAACCCTTCCTCTCTTAAAAATTGTCTTTCATTTGAAATGAAAATTTAAGTTGTTATTTATGCTCTATTAGCATCCTTATGCAGAGACTCAACAGCATGTTTTACATTTCCAAATTTTTATTTCTTGATTTTGCTGGAAGGAATATACTACTTCATTGATTTTTTAAAAGCAAGGTAAAACAATTTATTCTGACAAGGGCAGATGGTACTTTCTTCCTCCGTTTTCTGGGAGCAAAAGATTACATTTAATAGTGATTTCA